TATAGATGAAATAAGATTGGCCACAGGTTGATAATTGTTGAAGTTGAATGATAAATAAAAGGAGTTGATTTAGCTCTTCTGTCTACCTTGTATGTTTGAAGTTTTCTACAATAAAATGTTAAAATCCTGTGTTATTTTTGGGTGCCAAAAGGGTAAAATGTTTCTCCCCTCTTGAAAGACAACTTTCAACATTCTTTTGAATACACAAAACCAAGTGAACGTTCTCTTTTCCAGTAGTCAGTGATCCTCAAGGACTAGCTCCCTTAACTTACTTACAGAGGGTAGTGTTTACAAAGAAGCCAGACTGGCCAATTAAGTTCTGTGATTCCCTGGAGATGTAGCGAAAGTAGTGATTATGAGAGCCAAAATGATGAGTGATTTGGGAAGTCCAGATCGAGAAGAGAAACCCTAAGAAAAGAGTTAATGGCAGGGTGTAAAGTTTGTCACACCTTTGCAGAAGGTATTGCAGGGATGAAGTGGGCTGCCTACTGGAGCACTTTCCAAAGACCTTGAGCTCAAAAAGCACCAAAATTAGTGACAACCTTTCTCCTTAATCCTCACCTTCTTTACTCGTGACTTCTTTTAGATATAAGACTAGGAAATCCTGAGAGAGAAAAAAAACAGCTGTTTCCCACTTAAAGACAAGAGTCTGTTTTAGGGGAAAAAATACTTAAGCAACAGCTGCATTTGTAGATGCCGAAGCACAAAGACTTTCTGTTTTTATGGCACTTCTTTCTTACTTATGGTTTTTACTAATCCAAATAATTATGTGCTTATGTGGATAGAATTGTTTGCTGCTTAATCAAGAGAGGTGGGTGGGGAAGCACCTGCTTTTAGTCATTAAAGTCTTGTTGCTTTTGTACTGCATCCAAGAAACTAGTTAACAGACAAAAAGTGATTTGCCTTTTCCTGAGAACGAAAAGGAAGACCTCTTTGGTTTCACCCTGTGAAGAAGAGCAGAGAGAAACTCCAAGGTGGATTTTCTCTACTTGTTTAAATGGAACCATCAGGGACCCCACAGGAAAAGTGATTCTTGGGTTTTGTTTCTTCCTGCCCTTTCTCCCTGCCTGTCATAGAACTCAGCAATTGGAAGAATACCAGTTTTTGTTCCTTATTGGTGCTGCCACCTGTTCTTACTGCTGAACTAAATGTTCTTGGCTTTCTTTGGTGTGAACAGGATCTCCCTCTGGGAAAGGTGGGAGGAGGGTGAAAAAGAGAACGGGAGGAGGCCCATTCCAGTCCCTGTGCTCATGTGAGAGGGACACACAGAGGTTAGTGTGCTGCTCTAACAGAGGGGCTTTGTGCTACAGGTTCTTCCAGAGCTCCACAGATGCATGCTGGGCGGGCTCAGTCAGCTTTACCCCTAATACACTTGCTTCTTCCTAACAATAGCAGAGCAAGACTGACAACAATAATTAAAATAAGAGAATAAAGAAGATGTAGTCAGAGGCCATTCTGAATGCATTCAGATTCTCAGTGTGTATGAGGAAGGCTGCCTGTAATTAAGAGGTGAGAAAAGATTATATCATAGAGACGTTGATACCACTGAACTGAGGAGCCAGATCTATTGTTACAGACCCGCTCTGGGTGCAGTCAGAGCTCTGACCTTAAGACCTTTCCCTTTCTGTACTGAAACCCTTGTTATCTAGGTCATGGGAAATATGCCTCCTTTGAATGGGAGAAACAGAATATAGAATAGGAAAAAGTGTAGTTCTTCCTACTCAGATCTCAGCGACTGAGGAAGTAGCTCAAGGTAGAAGCATCTGACTCAGATCCCTTCTTTCAACATAGGACAGTGACAGACAGTCTCTTTAGCAACCTGAAATGACTCCTAAATAGAATAATAATAATAATACCTAACATTTAGCATTTATCACACTGACAAGGATTAGTCTAAGATATATACATTTATGTCCTTTTTTTTTTTTTTTTTTTGAGACGGAGTCTGGCTCTGTCATCCAGGCTGGAGTGCAGTGGCCGGATCTCAGCTCACTGCAAGCTCCGCCTCCCGGATTTACGCCATTCTCCTGCCTCAGCCTCCTGAGTAGCTGGGACTACAGGTGCCCGCCACCTTGCCCGGCTAGTTTTTGTATTTTTTGGTAGAGACGGGGTTTCACTGTGTTAGCCAGGATGGTCTCGATCTCCTGACCTCGTGATTCGCCTGTCTCGGCCTCCCAAAGTGCTGGGATTACAGGCTTGAGCCACCGCGCCCGGCCTATATCCTTTTTTGTTTGTTTTTTTTCCTGAGACGGAGTCTCGCTTTGTCACCCAGGCTGGAGTACAAGTGATCTCAGTTCACTGCAGCCTCCTGCTTCAGCCTCCCGCTTCAGCCTCCCGAGTAGCTGGGATTACAGGTGATTGCCACCACACCTGGCTAATTTTTGCATTTTTAGTAGAGATAGAGTTTCACAATACTGGCCAAGCTGATCTCGAATTCCTGACCTTAGGTAATCCTCCCGACTTAGCCTCCCAAAGTGCTGGGATCACAGGCGTGGGCCACCACGCCCGGCTGATATATATCTTATATATACGTGTGTGTGTGTGTGTGTGTACTCATTTAATCCTCAAATAACCCTAGGCAGTAAATACTGTTTTTTCTTTTTTTTTTTTTTTTGAGACGGAGTCTTGCTCTATCGCCCAGGCTGGAGTGCAGTGGCACGATCTCGGCTCACTGCAACCTCCGCCTCCTAGGTTCAAGCAGTTCTCCTGTCTCAGCCTCCCGAGTAACTGGGACTACAGGTACTCACCACAACACCTGGCTAATTTTTGCATTTTTAGTAGAGATGAGATTTCACCATATTGGTCAGGCTGGTGTAAATGCTGTTATTAAACTCTCTTTTAAAAGAGAAACTGAGGCCTAAAGAAGTTAAATAACTTACCCAAGATCATATAGCTGAAGTATCAGGGTTGAGATTTTGAACCCATTTTAGCTCCAGAATCCCGTCTGTTAACTATTACACCATACCATCTCTGAGTAGAGTCCTGACTTTTCTCAAACAGGGTCATCTGAGAACCACAGAACACAGAAAGTGATTAGAGTGACTATTTTCTTAATTCTCTCCAAGATGGCATATAGCTATTGCTACGCATAGGAGAGTTGCTATTTCATTAGGAACAGTTAAGGCCCTAGAGTATTAGGGCTTAATTCTCGAGGAAATCCAGTTGAAGAAGACTAAAGGGGCCGGAGTTTATAAATTTCAGATTTGTATAGAACTGTCCTGGAAATAATTTCCTATTGGTTTGTTTTGGAAACAATTTTGGATTTTGAACAAAGGACCAAACCTCATCCATCCTTTGTTCTGCAATAGAGCCTATGTCAGCAGTAATTTCTTACCAGTAACAATTGAGAAGAGCAACAGGCTGGGATGTAATAGTGGTCACTAAGTTTTGCCAAGCTGGGTTGACCTTCTTTCAACAAATCATGATGTCATCAGGCCACTATGCAATTTGTAAAAGCAGTCACTGCTTTTCCCCCCTTCCTTGTCCTTTGTTTCTCCTTATTTCTCCAAAGGTTCAAAATCCCATGGGTCACTGGACACATATCCAATTATTTAACTGTGGACCTAGATCATTCCTTTTGGTCTAGTTTAAGAGGTTACTAATAGACATTCTTCCCCTTCCAGTAACAAATTATGGAAGGCCCTGCCCTGCCTTTCCTTGACCTTATAATGGACTTGTATATAAATTTCTAGGTTGAGCCAAAATAATGTGGAGTAATTATAACAGATTTCCCTCACAGCTAATTAAAGAATACTAAATATGTATTGCTGGCATTGCCTCCCCCACATCATATGGAGACATTTGTAGGAACATAATAGCAGGTTACACAGTAATCTGTTCTTGAGCTGCTGCAGGAGTAGATATTCAGTATGTATGAGGAGGAAAGGTGCTAGTGAGAGGGCAGAATGGGAAAACAATTTTTTTTTTGAATTGGAGTCTTGCTCTGTTGCCCAGGCTGGAGTGCAGAGGTGCAATCTCGGCTCACTGCAAGCTCTGCCTCCCAGGTTCACGTCATTCTCTTGCCTCAGCCTATTAATACTAATAGGGCTGGGCGCAGTGACTCATGTCTGTAATCCCAGCACTTTTAGAGGCCAAGGTGAGAGGATTGCGTGAGCCCAGGAGTTTGAGACCAGCCTGGACAATATGGTGAGACCCCATCTCTTACAAAACAGTTGAAAAGTTAGCGGTGTGTGGTGGTGCATGCCTGTAGTCCCATTTACTCAGGAGATTGAGGCTGCAGTGAGCCATGTTCATGCCACTGCACTCCAGCTTGTGTGACAAAGCAAGACCCTGTTCAAAAAAAGACAACAAAAGCACACACAAAAAACCAACTAAACAAAAAACCCACAAATCTACACAAAAGTATCCTATGTATTATTTAGGGATATATATATAAAACTATTAAAAACAAGATTATACAACAAATTTATGATATGAGTGGCTGGTAGAGAGTGGGGCAGTCTTAAACAGGACTTTGGCATTATCTGTAGATGAAAGTAAACATATAGAATGTTTATTTCTGGGTATTAGACTCACAGATTTTTGTTGTATTAGTCTTTGTACTTTTTGGTAATTTTATATTAGCTGAAAATTTTAAAAGAAAGGGGGTCAAGATTCATAGGATGAACCCCCAGAAAATAATTTGTTGATATGTTTATATGTATTTTTTCTTTTTTTACCTAACCCATCTACTTCTGTCTGTATTAGAGGAAGAAGAAATGAGGTAACTGCATTACATTAATTCATGACAGTGGTTTCTCCTAATGTGTCCTTGGCATCACACTCAGATGAAGGAATGAGGATATTTATTAGCACAGATCATGCCCTTCATTCTGACTCTTGATTTTATTTTTAATTACTAACTGCAAGCATGTCAACCCATGGGAAGCACATTTGGTTTCATAGCTATCATCATGGAGATGCTAGCATGACAGACTAGGATGTATACTAGTTTAATAACAGCATTGCACTTTTTCTCTTGTCTAACTTCTTCCCTACAGGGAATCTTTAACCAGTTTCAGTGTAGTAGTGAAAAAGTGCTTCCATCTGACACTCTCCGCAGTGCTCTGGCAAAGACTTTCCAGGATGAACAACGTTTCCAGCTGGGAATTATGGATGATGCTGCAGAGTGCTTTGTAAGTGCTGGCCTCTGGCCCTTTTTGATATGGGGTGGGGCTGCTGATGGTTTCCATCAGGGACTGGCTACTTTATGGTGGAATTTACTGTGTCGTTATCTCTACAGTTAGAACTAGGAGTTTCTCTGATTTTTCAGGGATCTAAAATGTCTTTATTATAGCAGTGTGTTATTATTCTTCCTTTAGGCTGGTGGTTTTGTGCTTGTCATTGCATAAAATATCAGCTTTCACCTTCAGAGGATCCAAGGCTCATTAAAATACAAATTGCTGGGCTGTACCCCCAGAGCTTCTGATACAGTAGGCCTAGTGGAGGGGTCTCTGCATATCTGTATCTAACAGGTTCCTAAGTAATGCTGATACTGATGCTGCTCCTCCATTTCTAAAGATAATTAATCAGGGAATAACTGAGTCCCTAGCATAAGTATGATGTGCCAGATAGATAGCTACATTGCCCCCAGTGCCCCTCACTCTTCTGAACTCTGTGTTCTATCCGTCAGCCTTTAAAAGACTCTCTGTACATCCATTTAGAAAATTTGAGGCTGGGCACAGTGGCTCACACCTGTAATCCCAGCACTTTGGGAGACCAAGGCAGATGGATCTCAAGGTCTGGAGTTCAAGACCAGCCTGGCCAACATAGTGAAACCCCATCTCTACTAAAAATACAAAAATTAGCCAGGCATGGTGGTGGGTGCCCATAGTCCCAGCTACTTGGGAGGCTGAGGCAAGAGAATCACTTGAACCTGGGAGGAGGAGGTTGTAGTGAGCCTGGATTGCACCAATGCACTCCAGCCTGGGTGACACAGTGAGACTCTGTCTCAAAAAAAAAAAAGAAAAAAGAAAAGAAAATTTAACAGTGATATATATCTCATCACAGGATAAAATGTGGCCCCAAATCAGAGGTGCTCCTGAGGAACTGGATCACTGATATATTACTCGTGGGACTGTAAAGCGGTATAGCTACTCTGGAAAACAGTTTGGCAGTTTCTTAAAAAGCTAGACATGTAAAGTACCATATGATCTAGCAATTACATTCCTGGACATGTATCCCACAGAAACGAAAACTTATATTAAAACAAAACCTGTTTATGAATGCTCATAGAAGTGTTATTCATAATAGTAAAAAACTGGAAACAACCCAAATGTCCTTCAGTGAGTAGATGGCTAAACAAAAGATAGTACTTCTGTACCGTGAAGAACTATGTAGCAATACAAAGCATTAAGTATTTTTATAAAAATAAAAATAAACTGTTGATTTACACAACTTGGACAGATCTCAAGGGAATTACGCTAAGTGTAAAATGCAATATCAAAAGGTTATATGGCTGGCCTGGGCGCGGTGGCTCACTCCTATAATCCCAGCACTTTGGAAAGCCAAGGCGGGCGGATCACTTGAGGTCAGGAGTTCGAGAACAGCCTGGTCAACATGGTGAAATGCTGTCTCTACTAAAAATACAAAACTTAGCCAGACATGGTGGTGCATACCTGTAATCCCAGCTACTCAGGAGGCTGAGGCACGAGAATCGCTTGAACCTGGGAGGTAGAGGTTGCAGTGAGCTGAGATCACTACTGCACTCCTGCCTGGGCGACAGAGCCAGACTGTGTCTCAAAAAAAAAGGTTATGTGGTATATGATCCCATTTATATAACGTTCTTGAAATAAAATGATGGAGATGAGAGAAGACATTAGTGATTTCTACAGGTTAGGGTTGGGTTTGGACAGGTAAGGCTCTAAATGGCCAGCATGAGGGAGCCTTGTGATGGAACTGGTCTATATCTTGATAAAATGGCACAGAGCTATACATACTCACACACGAATGCATGTAAAACTGGTGAAATCTGAATAAAGTCTGGATTCTATCAATGTCCGTTTCCTGGTATAGTTATCAAAAATGTGCCGGGCGTGGTGGCTCACACCTGTAATCCCAGCACATTGGAAGGCTGGGGCGGGCAGATCATGAAGTCAGGAGATCGAGACCATCCTCGCTAACACGGTGAAACCCCGTCTCTACTAAAAATACAAAAAGTTAACCAGGTGTGGTGGCGGGCGCCTGTAGTCCCAGCTACTTGGGAGGCTGAGGCAGAGGAATGGCATGAACCCGGGAGGCGGAGCTGGCAGTGAGCTGAGATCGAGCCACTGCACTCCAGCTGGGACGACAGAGCGAGACTCATCTCAAAAAAAAAAAAAAAAGAAAAACAAAGATGTTACTGTTGGAGGAAGCTGGGTGAAGGATACGGGGGATCTCCTGTACATTTTTGAAATTCGCTATGAATTTATAATTAGTTTAAACTAAAAAGTTAAAAAAATCAAAATATTCCTACTTTCCAGAAAGGTTGCTGTTTCTCTGGGTAAGCTGCTTACCAATTTATGTATTTGTCTGTTAAATATTGTTGGTGTACTGCTTTTGTTCTTTCACTGTCAGGAAAACCTCCTGATGAGAATTCACTTCCACATTGCTGATGAAACCAAAGAGGATATATGTACTGCCCAACACTGCATTTCCCATCAGAAATTTGCAATGACATTGTTTGAGCAGGTGAACTCTAGCTCCATCTTTTTTTTGACCTTTGTTCAAGAACACTTTATCCTGGGATGTGGGGTGTTAAATGGGTGCCAAAACAGTTCCTGACTATGGTTGCTTGGTTTTGCCTTTTTCTCTTTGGCCCAGTGTGTTTGTACTAGCTGTGGTGCCACTTCTGATCCGCTGCCTTTCATCCAGATGGTACATTATATCTCCACCACTTCCCTTTGGTGAGTCTTACAAGATTTTCTGTTGTGCCTTTAGGCATTCCTCTAGTTGATTGGACTTTTTTTTTTTTTTTTTTTTGGAGACAGAGTCTCACTCTGTCGCCCAGGCTGGAGTGCAGTGGCGTAATCTCAGCTTACTGCAACCTCCGCCTCCCGGTTTCAAGTGATTCTCCTGCCTCCACCTCCCAAGTAGCTGAGACTTCCAGCTATTTCCACAAATAGTACACACCCCGCTAATTTTTTTGTATTTTTAGTAGGATGGTGTTTCACCACATTGGTCAGGCTTGGTCTTGAACTCCTGACCTCAAATAATCTACCTGCCTTGGCCTCCCAAAGTGCTGGGATTACAGGTGTGAGCCACGGTGCCTGGCCTATTGAACTTTAATTGAAGACATTCAAATAGTTTTATATCCTGGCCGGGCATGGTGGCTCATGCCTATAATCCTAGCACTTTGGGAGGCCCAGGTGGGCAGATCACTTGAGGCCAAGAGTTCGAGACCAGTCTGGCCAACATGACAAAACCCTGTCTCTACTAAAAATGTCAAAAATTAGCCAGGCGTGGTTGCATGTGCCTGTAGTCCCAGCTATTCTGGAGGCTGAGGCATGAGAATTACTTGAACCCAGGAGGCAGAGGTTTCAGTGAGCTGAGATTGAGCCCCTGCACTCCAGCCTGGGTAACAGAGCGAGACCATGTCTCAAAAAAACCACCACCACCACCACTGCCACCAAAAACACAAATAGTTTTATATCCTCATTGCTGAGTCTGTGCTATATTGTAGGAATGCAGAACAGTAATTTAAAAATAACTTTTGTTCTCCTTTCCTCTCCCATCCCTCCCCATTTCTTAGGCTCAGTACTGGCAAGCAAAGTGGGAGGAGGAGTGGGGATTCTATGAGTAGCAGGTAGAGGTACTCACTGTGTTTATGAGACACTGAGCCTGGTCAGGGGCTTTGGTATAGTGGGCAGAGGAAGAAAGTCAAACGTGTGAGTTAGGAATTTACATTAATGTTTGATTTAGCAGTAACTACGTACAAATCATCATTCCCCTTCTATTCCCCATCTCGAAGCAATCAGGCTATTTGTATGCTGGAAAGACGAGAGAAACCTTCACCAAGCATGTTTGGTGAGCTGCTGCAGAATGCCAGCACCATGGGGGATCTGCGGAACTGTCCAGTGAGTTAAATCAGGGGTGGGGCTTGGAGTGGGAAAGGGAACCGTCGATCAGTGGGATTGAGGCAAAGCCAGTGGGAAACATGTTGAACTAGCCTTGTATGTGTATTTCAGAGCAACTGTGGAGAGAGGATCAGGATTCGCCGTGTGTTGATGAATGCTCCACAGATTATCACAATTGGGCTGGTATGGGACTCAGACCACTCAGACTTAGCAGAAGATGTTATCCACAGCCTGGGAACCTGCCTTAAGCTGGGTGATGTGCGTGTTAGTTACCTTTATCTCTCACTTTGAGTTCTTGTGTCTTAGTATTGCTTAGGAGCAGTGAGCACTAGACAAACAGGTATGTCCTAGATGACAAGTATTATAATGTTTTGGACAGATAAACTTGTTTATTTGTGTACAGATACCCGTGCATGCAGGTATGTGCTCATATACCTCCTTTTATAGGTGGCAAAGATTTTTTAAGAAGAAATGGGATGACTTGGCCTTGAAAGACAGGGTAGGCAGAGCTTAGCTACTGATAAAAATAAATCAGTAATTCAAAGAGTTATTGTATGTTCTATTTATTGTTAGTTTATATGAGTATAGAGTAGGGAAGGGTATTCAACCATGGGAGGCAGTAAGGTCCAAAGAGGGGCATTCCTGACTAGAACTGGTATAGTAGGTGAAGAAGTTAAAAGTTGGTGACCTGCGCCCAAAAATATGAAATTCACAGTGTGGAACCAATGTCTGGGATAATCTTGTGACTGAAGAGGGCCTTTGTTACTGTTTTTTAATGTCATTAAGCCATGATTGAGAATAAATGAACTTTCTGGGATCTTATTTTAGGTTTTCTTCCCAAGGAATCTTACTTGAGTAGGCTGTGCACAATAAAATCTCCATTTTTCACCAGCGCCTACCTGTAGACCTAGCTACTCAGGAGGTTGAGGTGGGGGGATTGCTTAAGGAGTTCAAGGCTTTAGTGTGCAATGATCCTGCCTGTGACTAGCCACTACATTCTAGCCCAGGCAGCATGTCAAGACCCTGTCTCTTAAAAACAAAAACAATCATTTCTTTTTTTTTTTTTTTTTTTTGAGATGAAGTCTTGCTGTGTCGCCCAGACTAGAGTGCAGTGGCGCAATCGCCGCTCACTGCAAGCTCCGCCTCCCAGGTTCATGCCATTCTCCTGCCTCAGCCTGCCCAGTAGCTGGGACTACAGGTGCCCGCCACCACACCTGGCTAATTTTTTGTATTTTTAGTAGAGACGGGGTTACACTGTGTTAGCCAGGATGGTCTCGATCTCCTGACCTCATGATCTGCCCGCCTCAGCCTCCCAAAGTGCTGAGATTACAGGCGTGAGCCACCGCGCCTGGCATCAAAAACAATCATTTATTCTAAATTTCTGTGACCTACATATTCTGTACTGTTCTTTTTTTTTTTTTAAAACTTATCACTAACTTGAAGCTCAAGGTTTAATTTTCATGATTGTTTTTTCAACCAAATAGGTTCCTCAAGGCCAGAATCCTTTCCTTCAATTTTTTTTTTTTTTTTTTTAAATGTGTGTCTTAGCTCTTAGGACTGTGTTGGGCAGCTAGGAATTGAAATGCTGATAATGAGCATGGCTGTATTGCTCTACTTAGGTTATTAACAAGAACATTTTATTTGTGGGATCAGCTGATAAAAAAAACTTTTGGAAGTAGGCAGGTAGATAGGGTTTTGTTTTGTTTTGTTTTGTTTGTTTGTTTTTTGAGAGGGAGTCTCGCTCTGTGCCAGGCTGGAGTGCAGTGGCACGATCTCGGCTCACTGCAACCTCCACCTCCCGGTTCAAGAGATTCTCCTACCTCAACCTTCTGAGTAGCTGGGACTACGGGTGTGCGCCACCACTCCCAGCTAATTTTTGTATTCTTAGTAGAGACGTGGTTTCACCATTTTGGCCAGGATGGTCTCGATCTCTTGACCTCGTGGTCCTCCACCTCGGCCTCCCAAAGTGCTGGGATTACAGATGCGAACCACCACGCCCAGCCGGTTTTTTTTTTTTTTTTTTTTGAGATGGGAGTCTCGCTCTGTCGTGGGGCTGGAGTGCCGTGGCACGATCTTGGCTCACTGCAAGCTCCACCTCCTGGGTTCAAGCAATTCTCAGCCTTCCGAGTAGCTGGGATTACAGGCGCCCGCCACCACGCCCGGCTAATTTTTTTGTATTTTTAGTAGAGGCGGGGTTTCCCCATGTTGGTCGGGCTGGTCTCAAACTCCTGACCTCAGGTGATCTGCCCACCTTGGCTTCCCAAAGTGCCAGGATTACAGGTGTGAGCCACTGCACCTGGCCGGTTGTTTTTTTTTTTTTAATCCAACTTTCCTGGCTCCTCTTATGATAGGCCCTGATAAGAAAATTATTGAAAGATATGAAGAAAGATCATCACCATACCAGTTTACTGGCCACTATCTGTCTTGCTTTTCCCTTTTGTCTGTTTAGGTTAATTTTTTTCTTTCTTTCTTTTTCTTTTTTTGAGACAGGGTCTTGCTCTGTCATCCAGGCTGGAGTATAGTGGGACAAACAGCTCACTGTAGCACTGACTTCCTGGGCTCAAGTGATCCTCCTGCCTCAGCCTTCTGAGTAGCTGGGACTACAGGTGTGCACCACCATGCCCAGATAATTTTTTATTTTTTGTAGAGATAGGATCTGGCTTCATTCTCCAGGCTGATTTTGAACTGCTGGGCTCAAGTGATCCTCTTGGCTTGGCCTCCCAAAGTGCAGGGGTTACAGGCATGAGCCACCATGTCTGGTCAATTTTTTTTTTTTTTTAGTTAAAAGAATTATTTTTTTAGAGAGGTTTTTGATTTGCCACCCAGGTTAGAGTGGAGTATGGCACAATTATAGCTTACTGCAGCTTCAAACTCCTGGGCTCAAAGGATCCTCCCACCTCAGCCTCCTGAACAGCTAGCACTTAAGTGTGCACTTACCACACCTGGCTAATTAAAATTTTTTTTTGTAAAAATAGGGTGTTTTTGTTTAGTTTAGTTTTGTTTTTTATGATGGAGTCTCACTCTGTTGCCCAGGCTGGAGTGCAGTGTCATGATCTCGGTTCCCTGCAATCTGCCTCCCGGGTTCAAGTGATTCTCCTGCCTCAGCATCCCAAGTAGCTGGGATTATAGACGTGCACCACCACGCCCAGCTGATTTTTGTATTTTTAGTAGAGATGGGATTTCACTATGTTGGCCAGGCTGCCCTCAAGAGATCTGTTCGCCTCGGCCTCCTGAAGTGTAGGGATTACATGCGTGAGCCACCACGCTGGGCCTAAAGATAGGGTCTTGCTATCTAGTCTAGGCTGTTCTCGAACTCCTGTCCTCAAGTAATTCTCTTACTTTGGCCTCACAAAGTGCTAAAGTTAAGTTCTGATGATTAATCTAAACTAACAAAAATCTTAAACTGAAGGGAAGAGAAGCAAGTCAGTACCTTACTTAAGAAATGTCGATGGAGTCTGCTGAGAGATGATGTGGGAGGGTTGAATATATGACTGTACTTTCTTTTCTCTTCTTTCCCCCCAGCTGTTTTTCAGAGTGACAGATGACCGGGCCAAGCAATCTGAACTGTACTTAGTAGGAATGATCTGTTACTATGGCAAACATTATTCTACATTCTTTTTTCAAACAAAGATTCGCAAATGGATGTATTTTGATGATGCTCATGTTAAGGAGGTAGGAATAGTCAAGCCCTTTTTGAAGTGTTTGGTGACTACAAAAAAAAAAAAGAATAATTATTTGTCTTTAGTGTTTCATTTTCATAATTTCGAATGGGACCTCCCCACATTTCCATACAACGTATTATATTTATATTTTTATTTTATTTATTTATTTATTTATTTATTTATTTTTGAGATGCAGTCTCACTCTGTCACCCAGGCTGGAGTGCAATAGCTTGGTCTCGGCTCACTGCAACCTCTGCCTCCTGGGTTCAAGCGATTCTCCTGCCTCAGCCTCCTGAGTAGCTGGGACTACATGTGCATGCTACCACACCTGGCTAATTTTTGTATTTTTAGTAGAGATAGAGTTTCACTATGTTTGCCAGGCTGGTCTCGAACTCCGGACCTTGTGATTCGCCTGCCTCAACCTCCCAAAGTGCTGGAATTATAGGCATGAACCACCGTGCCTGTAGTATTTTATATTTTTATATCTGTCTGCCTGTTGAATTTATGAAGGTATCATCTTGTCTTCCCCTGAAGATGGCTAGTTCTTCGAGGATAGGAACAGTGTATCTTCTATTATATCCTCTGAATCCCCTCACCAGGCATTCAGCAGTTTTGTATTTATAGGTGACAAAGTATTTTATTTTATTTTTTGAGATAGGGTCTTCTCACTCTATTACCCAGGCTGGAGTGCAGTGGCATGATAATGGCTCACTGCAGCCTTTATCTTCCAGGTTCAAGCAATCCTCTCACCTTAGTCTCCTGAGTAGTGGCAACTACAGGTGTGTGGTCACCACACTCAGCTAGTTAAAATTTTTTGTTTGTTTTAGAGATGTTACCTAGGCTGGTCTGGAACTCCTGGGCTCAAGTGATCCTCCCTCCTCAGCCTGCCAAAGTGTTGGGATTACAGGCGTGAGCCACAGTGCTTGGCCCAAAGTATTTTTTTGAAAGTATAATCTCCTTTTTTTTTTTTTTTTTTTCCTAGAAAGTAGTTTTTCTTCAGTCCTGAGGAGTCAGCTCCTTATGTAGGCTTTGGTGGAGTTCATGGGTCAGCACTCGAAGGTCTAAATCTGGATGGGGATGTTAGCACCTTTTGGGCTTGAGGAGATTGATTACTGATTACCTTGCTATGAATGGCACAATTCACATAGTAATGTAGCTTTACATACAGCTTAGGAAGCACGTAGGCATCAAATAAATTTACTTCAGAAATGTCTTTGACAGCTGCAGCCTTTACTATGTTTTGAATGAGAAACTTTTTTTTTTTTTTAGACAGGGTCTTGCGCTGTCACCCAGGTTGGGGTGCAGGGGCATGATCTCGGCTCACTGCAACCTCTGCCTCCCCGGCTCAAGTGATTCTTGTGCCTCAGCCTCCCAAGTAGCTGGGCTTATGGGCGTGCACCATCACGCCTGGCTGATTTTTGTATTTTTAATAGAGAAGGAGTTTCTCCACGTTGGCCAGGCTGGTCTCTAACTCCTGACATTAAGTGATCCACCTGCCTCGGCCTCCCAAAGTGCTGGGATTACAGATGTGAGCCACCGTGCCTGGCCTTGAATGAGAAACTTCTTAATAGCCTTGTCCTTGGGCATGCATCCGGCACAGTTCATGCAGTGAATGGGCTGCACATAGCTGCAGCCCTTTTTTGGCATGCCATGTTCTTTCTTTTCTTTGTCTTCTTGGAAACTAGGACTCCAGAGAGGAATGGTTGTTTGTTGTTATTTGTTTTTTTAATGTGTGTGTTGATTGATTTGAGTAGGAGCACTCTAATGCCTCAAATGAGGTTATAAGGTTAATACAAAGTTCAGAATTTCAGATCTTGGAGTTACCGGTGGGTACTACTTTGTGTCAGGGCTGCTGTAAATTATTCTTTGTTATCTTCCTGAAGTGCCCCATCACAGAGTAACATGTGTTTTGGGATAGTTATAAGTCATGTAGGGTTATAATGATAAAGCAGGAAAGTTGATACTGTCTAAACTACAGAGTTTGCGATTGAAGTGGCTTATGTGATCTGCATGAGTTAGGAAGCTGTTTGTGATAAGGTTAGCAGATAAGGAGATAAGGTGTGACTAATCTACACCAATCCACAGACTTTAAGCAGTGTCTTCCACAAATAGTAAAGTGTTTGTCAAATTCCCTTATTCTTTTCTTTGTCTCTTTTTGTATTATTGTAATTTGGGGCAATTTATATAAATTCTTTTAGATTTAGGGTTTTTATTTGAAAATACCCTTACAAAGTAGTAAATATGATTATATTAATATGTGAAGAGCATATAAATGTTTTAATTAAAATAATAACTCAGTTATAAGTTTACTGGACATCTATTATTAACATACCACTATGCTAGTTGTCCAACCCCAAGAGCGGCACATTATCTAAGAAATGTGACTGGTTCAAGCTTAAGATGGGGTGAGTTTGAGGACTGGGTTGAATTGATTCCGTGGGTGTTCTCTTACACTTTTCCACTGTGGTAACAGAGCTGAATCCAGCACAGGGCTAAGGCCGAGAGGTTCAGTTGTCTATTCTAAGCAGTTTGACATTTTATATCCTGCCATTTGCAAACTCTGAAACTGAATGTCATTTGTTCTAAGGCAGTCTGTGAGAGAGTTTCTGTCTGCTCTTCAGCTTCATGAAAGTGATTTTAATATTTGGGAGAAAACTAAGGAAATGCAGATTTCTAGTGAGGGCTTAAATCTGATGTCTGTGAAAAGAAATTGGTCACCAAGGCAGCTGAAGTTCCCTCACATAGCATATCCACCTTTGATAACTTTTATTCCTATTTTACAACTGAGTTGATGGTTCACAGAAATAAAAGTAATTTTATTCATTCTTTTATTCTTCTGTAGGATTTCAGTGCTTTCTAAAAGGACTTAGCAAAGGAAAAAAAAAAGATTTAATAAAAAAAGTGTTAGGTCTGAGATCTTTTTTGCTGCCTTTTTACCCAATTCTTGTCTTTTCATCTCTTTTATTTTCTTTAGAAATATAGAACAGGAAGATAAGTTGTGAATTGTGGATATGAAGTATAATTGTCCTGTTCTTTTGGTTGTTTCTGGTTCAGATTGGGCCCAAATGGAAGGATGTGGTGACCAAATGCATCAAGGGGCATTATCAGCCCCTGCTGCTGCTTTATGCAGATCCCCAGGGTACCCCAGTATCCACCCAGGACCTGCCTCCCCAAGCTGAGTTCCATTCATACAGCAGGACATGCTACGACAGTGAAGATTCAGGTGAGCAGCCTGGCTCTTTACCTCTCTTCTCTTCTCACCCCATGTGATCAAACAGTTGGGACTCATACTTAATTATGTCCTTAGCACGTAACCTAGCTTGGAGAAAGAGGATCCATTAGAGGTAAGAAAGAAGTGCCAATCTGTGCTGAAGCCTAACTTGTGCCAGCCTTTATTTCCTTCAGTTGTCAAAAGAGTGTTGAGGATGGCTGATTTTTATAAGCAATTTAACAGTGACTTAATTGAGTTGTTTTATTTGAGCCACTATAAGGCTAGTTATTTTGTTTGGCATGAGATATTTTTGTTTTAAAATTGCAAATGTGTAGCTGGGCAGGGTGATGCATGCCTGTTATCCTAGCTATTTGGGAGGCTGAGGTGGGAGGATCACTTGAACCTGGAGTTTGAGCCTAGCCTGGGCAAAATAGCAAGACTCTGTCTTGGCGGGGGGCGGGGGAGGAATTCCATGTCCAGTAGTGATATTTGTCTGCTTATGAATCACTTTTTCACTTCTAAGTTAATTGTTTAGAACTTAAGTAATGACTTTCTGTAAAAACAACTTTCAGCTTGATGGCTAAAGTTCTAGGATAGCCCACAGAATCTTATAATATATTTGAGGTATAACCTAATAGTTTTGGCTTGATTTCTGAAAAGGAAGAAGAAATATTATTTTACTCTTCTAGATCTGGTACTGGCCCTTAATATAATTTTGAAAGAGAAGATGCTTGACTTTGACATCTTTCTGTCTCCCCTTTGTACCTCCCTCCTGCTTGGTACCTGGTGCTTTCTTCCACCTCTCATACCCCACCCAGACCTGTTCTACCTCTTTTCCCTTCAATCAAATACCCATTTGTCCTATTATACTTATCTCAGCTATCTATTCAGAGGGAAGCAGTCTGATTGAACTAATTTATACTAATGTATTTCATATAAGTAACAGCCCCAATAATTTCTCAGAGACATTAAAAATGCATCTAATATCCATTCAGAAATTTTAAGTGACGTTCTTGGGAGTATAGGAGAAAGATTATGGGATAGGAGAACAACTGACTATGTATGACAGGTTGTCCTGGAACTTTCCATCTAAATATATCCTACTTTTCACAACTTTTTCATTACTTCAGTTTTTTCCCTGATAGACTTTGTAAAACCCTCACAGGTTTTCACAGTGGCAGGCAAAGTGAGGGCTTCAGCAAGGTAGGGAAAGGGATGGGAGGAATTTTACATGTGTCTGGGTGATCTGGAAGTTGGGTGTTGTGAAGAATGGCTCGATGGTATAGCATATCCTTCTCACACTTGTGTCTAGGAAGTTCTTGCCTTATGGAGCTTTGTTGTGTCCATCTCTTTTCCTTCTCTCTGTTACTGTTCTGTTTCCTCACTTTTTGCATATGTGTTTCCTCCTTCCCTCAGGGAGGGAGCCCTCCATCTCAAGTGACACTCGAACAGATTCCTCAACGGAGAGCTATCCCTACAAACATTCCCACCATGAGTCTGTGGTCAGTCACTTCTCTTCTGATTCTCAGGGGACAGTCATCTATAATGTGGAGAATGATTCCATGTCTCAGAGCAGTCGGGACACAGGTAGGGACTTACACAGAGGGTCCTGCTTGCCTGAATCAATTCCTGCATAGATCTCCTAAGAAAAAGAAACTGGGAGGCCGGGCGTGGTGGCTCACGCCTGTAATCCCAGCACTTTGGGAGGCCAAGGCGGGCGGATCACGAGGTAAGGAGATCGAGACCATCCTGGCTAACACACAGTGAAACCCCGTCTCTGGCTGGGCACGGTGGCTCACGCCTGTAATCCCAGCACTTTGGGAGGCCGGGGCAGGCGGATCACGAGGTCAGGAGATCGAGACCATCCTGGCTAACATGGTGAAACCCCGTCTCTACTAAAAATACAAAAAAATTAGCCGGCCGTGGTGGTGGGCGCCTGTAGTCCCAGCTACTCAGGAGGCTGAGGCAGGAGAATGGCGTGAACCTGGGAGGTGGAGCTTGCAGTGAGCGGAGATCACACCACTGCACTCCAGCCCGGGCGACAGAGCGAGACTCCCTGTCAAAAAAAAAAAAAAAAAAAAAAAAAAAGAAACCCCGTCTTTACTAAAAATACAGAAAAAAAATTAGTTGGGCATGGTGGCAGGCACCTGTAGTCCCAGCTACTCAGGAGGCTGAAGCAAGAGAATGGCGTGAACCCAGGAGGCGAAGCTTGCAGTGAGCTGGGATCACGCCACTGCACTCCAGGCTGGGCGACAGAGTGAGACTCAAAAAAGAAGAAAAAGAAACTGGGGCAAGTCAGAAATGTTTGTTATGCAAAGGCAGAATGGCACAGAATTTGGGCAACTGAATGGGATACAAAGAAGCAACACAGTTTTGAATGAACCATGATGCTCCATTGCACATACTCCTGTCAATAGCAGCATGTCAATAAAGATTGTAATGTGATTATTGACGTGATTATTCTCAAGTCTGCCTTTCTCCTCCTATCCTCTTGATTCCCATGGTATCCCATTAAGCCCCTGTGATCTTGCATATCATTGTGTTCTCATGCCAGGCTTTGTCCTAAGTGAAGAGCTTTGATAGAAGGGGCCTATTTATGGGATTGGTGAGGGACAACTGCATGTCAGCTTGCTAAGCTTCCTGAAGGATAGAGAAGCAAAAGAATGAAAGATAATCTATTTGTTATTGTGAGTTCCATGCGGAGAATATTCTTGCATTGTTTTGTTTATCTGTAGGAGAGTATACCCATGTCAGAGGAAGAAATCAATACAGGCAAGAACAGTGAATGACTGCTGAGATGAAAAGTTTATTCTGGGAGATAGAATACCTAAGGCATAGAACAGTATCCATATTCTTAGGGACTGTGGGAATTCGTGAACTCATTGTTTGAGATTGGTGGTTTATAAGCTGGGGGGGCTTTTTTTTTTAATACCAAGAATTTCAAAGATATTCAAAGCTATATAGAATAGTGTACTGCCCATTCATGTACTCATCACTTAGTTTCAATAATTATAACTCACAGCCAATCTAGTTTTACCTGTACCTTTACCCACTCCTGGATTATTTTGAAGCACATCCCAGGCATTTTATCACATTTTCCATAAATATTTCTTATGTTTGCTGAAACATAAGAAATCACTTTTTAAATGTAGCATTATAACACTTAAAAATAGTAATGATAATTCCTTAAAACTGCTAGGTAACCAATGAGTGTTCAAATATCCACTTACAAGTATTATAATATTTTCATGGTTTATGTGTTTGACTCAGCATCTAAATGAGGTCTGTGTATTGTGATGAGTTGATAAGTCCTTTGCGTTTCTTTTAATATAATGTTTTTTCCTCTATTTTTTTCCTTGCAATTTATTGCTAGAACTAGGTATTTTGTCCTGTCGATTTCCCACATTCTGAATTTTGCTGATTTTATTCCTATGGTATACTTTAACATGTTTCCGTGTCCTATATTTCTTGTAAATTGGTAGTTGGACCTAGAGGTTTGGTCAGACTTGTGTTGGCTTTCTTTTGATGACTACTGCATTGATTGTGTCAGATGTGAGTTTTTTAGACCCACTTTTTGAATCTGTGAACCAGGGAGAAGCCAAGCCACAGGATAAACTAAGCGTATTTTCCAGTAGAGGCAGATTTGTGTTAATGGTTTAGGGGTTTTGGCAGGGAGGGTGTGAGGAATGGAGAACATGCCCATTGGTTTAACATTTGTAAGACTTAGTTGCAGCCAGGCGCAGTGGCTCACGCCTGTAATCCCAGCACTTTGGGAGGCTAAGGTGGGCGGATCACGAGGTCAGATAGAGACCATCCTGGCTAACATGGTGAAACCCCGTCTCTACTAAAAAAAATACAAAAAATTAGCTGGGCGTGGTGGCAGGCACCTATAGTCCCAGCTACTCAGGAGGCTGAGGCAGAAGAATGGCGTGAACCCAGAAGGCGGAGCTTGCAGTGAGCCAAGATCATGCCACTGCACTCCAGCCTGGGCGACAGAGCTAGACTCCATCTCAAAAAAAAAAAAAAAGAAAAGAAAGACTTAGTTGCTCCAAGTCATTTCCTCCTCTCTTAAATCTTTCTTGTGGGCACAGAGGTAGAAAAGGACCAAATAAAAGCAATACAAGATTCCAAGGGGCAACTGATTGAAAATATTTATCCATATCACTACACTGGTGATACCTGAATATGTATAAGGATTTTCATATACTGTCATGTGAAAACAAACTTTTGTTAGCTTTCCGTGCATTTGACCTAGGGTTTTTTTTTTTTTTCCTAAGCGTATCTTCAAAATTATTTTACCTGCTTAATTCATCTCTGGCTTCCAGCACTTTAGTTGCTTATATCCTTTAGAATCTGACCTTTGCTGTCATCAAATCATGCTCATGTATTTGCATTCTATGGGCATGAAGCTGGGCAAGTTACATAAAAGAGCCCAGCTCTCCTGGTTTTCCCAGTGATTAGTATTAAGGAACTGTGACGTGTAATCTCTGGATAGAGCCAAGTTTCGTGAAGCATGGGTAGGGGATAGGAATGAGAATTAATCAAAGTTGAAGTGTCCTTTAAATGATCTACAATTAAGGGAAGCTTAGAACTGGGTCTTAAAGCCATATACAATCAGAGCTCTTGTGGGCAAAGTCTGGAGTATCCAGGATAATACCAGATGTACTGAAAATCAGACTTTATTTGATATGTGTTGCTAAAAAAATAAAAGGAAAACTCTGTCTTCAATTTATGAGAGCGAAAGTATATGGCTACCTAACATTTTTATATAATCTTTAAAACTTTTGCCTTTAAAAAGTTACCTAGAAACATGTCGTTAGACCTTCTGGGTCACTGGGGAAGATTATCAGTGGGATTGAGATTGGTCAAGACATTGTAAATTTGAATGCTCCCAGCTTCTCTGCATTTATCTTTTTTTTTTTTTTTTTAAGCAGAGTCTTGCTCTGTTGTCCAGGCTGGAGTGCAGTGGCATGATCTCAGCTCACCGCAACCTCTTGGGTTCAAGTGATTCTAATGCCTCAGCCTCTCAGTAGCTGGGACTACAGGCACATGCCACCATGCCCGACTAATTTTTGTATTTTTAGTAGAGACAGGGTTTTGCCATGTTGGCCAGGCTGGTCTCGAGCTCCTGGCCTCAAGTGATCTGCCCGCCTTAGCCTCCCAAAGTGCTGGAATTATAGGTGTGAGTCACTGTACCCGGCCGTTCTCTGCATTTATCTACTGGGAGGTTCCTACACTGAAATCAGATAGCCTATGCCCTACAGCTTCTGTTCCATGGGTACTCTAAATTTGTGGCACTCCCAAAGGGAGATTAGGTAGGTTCTCAGGAGGATGGAGGTTAGTCTCAGATACCAGCTTACCCCAATTTCCTTGTTTTTTCAGGACACCTGACTGATAGTGAATGTAATCAGAAACACACATCCAAGAAAGGGTCACTGATAGAGCGCAAGAGGAGCTCTGGTCGGGTTAGGAAGAAAGGCGACGAGCCCCAGGCCTCAGGATACCACAGTGAAGGCAAGCCCCTCTGCACTGCTTCTCTTTCTCCTTCATTCACTCTATCAAACTTCTGTCATGCTCCAGACTGTTGGCTTCTCCTTTCTGCTCAAAGGGCTTTTCTTTGCTTTTTCGACACTGGGATCTAGTATCCATGATCACTTTAAACATCTTTATTTCTTTCATTCTTTGTGTTTTTAGGAGAAACACTGAAAGAGAAGCAGGCTCCTAGAAATGCCTCCAAACCATCCAGCAGCACCAACAGGCTGAGGGATTTTAAAGAGACAGTCAGCAATATGATCCATAACAGACCATCCCTGGCTTCTCAGACCAATGTAGGCTCCCACTGTGGGGGCAGGGGAGGAGACCAGCCTGACAAAAAACCTCCTAAGACCCTACCTTTACACTCTCGTGACTGGGAAATAGAGAGTACCAGCAGTGAGTCAAAATCCAGTTCTTCCAGCAAGTATCGTCCAACATGGAGACCAAAACGAGAATCTCTGAATATTGACAGTATCTTTAGTAAGGACAAAAGGAAGCACTGTGGCTATACCCAGCTTAGCCCCTTTTCTGAGGATTCAGGTGAGGAGATAAGGGAAGAATGGGGGAAGAATTGGGCTTTTGAATAAAGTTGATTTGTGTCTTTTTAAAACCTGGGTTTTTTGGTACATCTGGCAAGGGGCATTTTTACTCTGATGTTGGGTATTTTAAGGATATGAGTTCAGTGAGTAAGTAGCCAGAGGGAGGAGTTAGTTAGGTCTTGATTTTAGGCAAATGCTAAATCTACCTCGTTTTCCATACCTGTCTTTTGATTGGGATAGCTAAAGAATTTATACCAGATGAACCAAGCAAACCACCTTCTTATGACATTAAATTTGGTGGACCAAGCCCCCAGTACAAGCGCTGGGGCCCAGCACGGCCAGGCTCTCACCTTTTAGAGCAGCACCCCCGACTAATCCAGCGAATGGAATCTGGCTATGAAAGCAGTGAGAGGAACAGCAGCAGCCCCGTCAGCCTGGATGCAGCCCTGCCTGAGAGCTCAAATGTCTACAGGTATTGTTTGACCTTTGAACAGTTGTGACACTGTCCCTTGCAGCAATGTGAGCCACCTACCTGGGGCTTTCAGGCAAGGTTTAGACAAGTGGAGGGAAGGCCTTTGCTACTATGTGCTCTATCAACTTCCTATAACAACAGCACCCTCTGCTGGAAGAACAAAGGCACTTGAGAAAGGAGAGAACTTTCTATGTACAGTTATCTTTGAAATACTTTGAAGTACAGTTATGTATAAAGTAATTTTAAAAAATTTAAGTTCAGGGTGTATATGTGCAGGTTTGTTATGATAAACTTGTGTCATAGGAGTTCGTTGTACAGATCATTTTGTTACCCACATATTAAGCTAGTACCCATTAATTGTTTTTCCTGCTCCTCTCATTCCTCCCACCCTCCACCCTCTGATAGGCCCGCGTCTGTTGTTCCCCTCTGTGTGTCCATGTGTTCTCATCATGTAGCTGCCACTTATAAGTGACAATATGCCGTATTTGGTTTTCTGTACCTGTCTTAGTTTGCTAAGGATAATGAAATAATTGTTTAGTGCTTGCTTTGGTAGCACATATACTAAAATTGGAATGATACAGAGAAGATTAGCATGGCCCCTGCTCAAAGGTGACACAAAAATTTGTGAAGATTTCCATATTTTTCAGATATGTAGGATAAACAAGTCTAGGGATCTAATGTAAAACATGAGGACTACAATTAATAAAATTGCACTGCATATGAGATTCATGGTAAATGAGTAGATTTTAACTCCTCTTGCCACAAAAACAAAAAAAAAATGGGTGACTATATGAGATGATGGGTATGTTAATTTCCTTCAATTATAGTAACCATTTTACTGTCTCTCATAACATCTCATAACATCATGTTGTATACCTTAAATATATGCAGTAAAAAAATGTATTAAAGAGCGGATTAGGCCAGGCATGTTGGCTCACGCCTGTAATCCCAGCACTTTGGGAGGCCAAGGTGGGTGGATCATTTGAGGTCAGGAGTTTGAGACCAGCCTGGCCAATATGGTGAAACCCCGTCTCTACTAAAAAAACAAAAATTAGCCAGGCATGCTGGCGGGCGCCCGTAATCCCAGTTACTTGGGAGGCTGAGGCAGGAGAATCACTTGAATCCAGGAGATGGAGGTGGTAATGAGCCAAGCTCGTGCCATGGCAACTCCAGCCGAGGCGACAGAGCAAGACTGTATCTCAAAAAAAAAAAGAAAAGAAAAGAATGGACTAGGCTGGCTGCGGTAGCTCACGCCTGTAATTCCAGCACTTTGGGAGGCTGAGGTGGGTGGATCACGAGGTCAGAAGTTCGAGACCAACCTGGCCAACATGGTGAAACCCCGTGTCTACTAAAGATACAAAAAAAAAAAAAAAAAAAAAAAAAAAAATTAGCCGGGCGTGGTGGTGGGCGCCTGTAATCCCAGCTACTCGGGAGGCTGAGGCAGGAAAATTGCTTGAACCTGGGAGGTATGGTTGCAGTGAGCCGAGATCGTGCCATTGCACTCCAGCCTGGGCAACAGAGTGAAACTCCATCTTAAAAAAAAAAAGAAGAATGGATTAGTAGGCCACCGCATGGTGGCTCATGCCTGTAATCCCAGCACTTTGGGAGGCTGAGGTGGGTGGATCACAAGGTCGGGAGATTGAGAACATCTTGGCCAACATGGTGAAACCCTGTCTCTACTAAAAATACAAAAATTAGCTGGGCACGATGGCGTGCACCTCTAGTCCCAGCTACTCTGGAGGCTGAGGCAGGAGAATCACTTGAACCCGGGAGGCAGAGTTTGCAGTGAGGCAAGATTGCACCACTGCACTCCAGCCTGGGTGACGAGTGAAACTCCATCTCAAAAAGAATGGATTAGTGAATTAAAACTTATGTAATCCTAAAATCAGAGAAGAAACCCAAATGTTGTTTTGGGATAGTGTTTTGTTGTTGTCATTGCTTTTTTTTTTTTTTTTTTTGGTATTGGTGGGGTTTCATCATTTTGCCCAGGCTTATCTTTCACTCCTGGGCTCAAGTGATTTACCCACCTCAGCCTCCCAGAGTACTGGGATTATAGGTGTGAATCACCACACCCAGTGTGGTGGGATAGTTTTTATTTTGATTTGTTGTTGGGTCACTGGGACTCTGTGTTTTATGATGCTAATAGTATTCATAATAATGATGACAGTTTATTAGCACTCATTGCACCCTGCCCGTAGGGCTCAGTTTTCTTTATAAATTTCAAATCTCCATACATTATTTTTACTGAGTTGCCACAGAGGCAATTTTTCTTTTTTCTTTCTTTTTTCTTTTGAGATGGAGTCTCTTGATGTGTCACCAGGCTGGAGTGCAGTGCCGCGATCTTGGTTCACTGCAACCTCCTGGGTTCAAGCGATTCTCCTGCCTCAGCCTCCCTAGTAGCTGGGCCTACAGGCGCGTGCCACCATGCCCGGCTAATTTTTGTGTTTTTAGTAGAGATGGGGTTTCACCATGTTGGCCAGGATGGTCTTGATCTCTTGACCTCATGATCTGCCCGCCTTGGCCTCCCAAAGTGCAGGGATTACAGGTGTGAGCCACTGCACCCAGCCAAGGCAATTTTTCTAATAGTAGAGCTGCTTTGAAAGGAATGAAAGGTGATAACCACATGTTCATACTCCCTCAATGTTCTTTCCTGTCCGCAGGATCCTGTTCAGTTTTACTTATGAGAAGATGGTACAAAGGTTTAGTAAGAAAGAAGGAAATAGATATGAAACCAATACGTTCATTAATACTTTCAACAGATTTTGAATACGTATTATGTACCAGATACTGTGCTAGATGCACAAGATGTGAATGAGGTGAGATGAGATTAGATAGGAGAATGAGTGGATATTTCAATTCTTTAGAAGTAATTTAGCAGAAGCTCTAATTATGTCAGTTTGATGTGTTTTTTTTTTTTTTTTGAGAGAGAGATTTAGTCCTAGGAATGTTACTGTAACCTGCTTTCATGCTTTCACTAGACTCTGGGTTCTCTTTTGAAGGGATCCAAGTGCTAAGAGATCAGCTGGGTTGGTTCCTTCCTGGCGTCATATCCCAAAGTCGCACAGTAGTAGCATCCTGGAGGTGGACTCCACAGCATCCATAGGTGGCTGGACAAAGAGTCAGCCTTTCTCAGGTAAGCAGAAGGACACTGGATTTGACCAGCAGTTTTGTCTGGGGACCAGACTTACCTGAGTACATTTGAAATTAGAGGACAGTTATAGGCCGGGGGCGGTGGCTCACACCTGTAATCCCAGCACTTTGGGAAGCCAAGGCAGGCAGATTGCCTGAGCTCATGAGTTCAGGACGAGCCTGGGCAACACGGTGAAACGCCATCTCTACTAAAATAGAAAAAATTAACCGGGCGTAGTGGTGTGCACCTGTAGTCCCAGCTGCTTGGGAGGCTGAGGCAGGAGAATTGCTTGAACCTGGGAGGTGGAGGTTGCAGTGAGCCGAGATCGTGCCACTGCACTCCAGCCTGGGCGACAGAGTGAGACTCCATTTAAAAAAAAAAAGGGACAGTTGAATGTAAATGTAGAGTCATTTCAGTTGCTCCATCTTTGGATTTATCTAGTTTTTGTTCTTCATCACAGCCTGCTTGAATATTTCTTTCTACTTGGAGGGAGCCCTTGTGGGAGCAAGAAGGGACAGAAATATGGTGAACAGTGTTAATAACATCCCCATTTTTCGGAAGAATAGATCCTAGGGCTTTCCTTGGATTAGTGACAGCCTCTTGGAAAATGGATTTCTTATTGTTTAGTATTATGAATTGACATACCAAAGGGGTACATATGTGCCTATTTGCAAAACTTGGAAATAAGCAATTCAAATTTATCCTTACCCGTGGCTAAATATCTTAGTCTTACTACCAATTCTCTTGATAGTTACTGACAATTCTTAGAGGTAGCAGGAAGAAAGGCCTGCAGCAGCAGTAATAAAAAGGCATGAACCCTTTTAGGTATGTACACTAAAGGTTGCAGATATCTGGCAGAGCAGAACAATGCCTATAAAGGCAGACATCTCTGGAATCCTGTGCTCTAGTAAGTTACAGTTAAGAGACACGTGGAAGAAATTTGGGCTTCCCATTGTAATTATACATTTGGTTTATTCCCCATTTTTTTTTTTTGAGACGGAGTCTCGCTCTGTCGCCCAGGCTGGAGTGCAGTGGCCAGATCTCAGCTCACTGCAAGCTCCGCCTCCCGGGTTTACGCCATTCTCCTGCCTCAGCCTCCCGAGTAGCTGGGACTACAGGCACCCGCCACCTCGCCCGGCTAGTTTTTTGTATTTTTTAGTAGAGACGGGGTTTCACTGTGTTAGCCAGGATGGTCTCGATCTCCTGACCTCGTGATCCGCCCATCTCGGCCTCCCAAAGTGCTGGGATTACAGGCTTGAGCCACCGCGCCCGGCCTTATTCCCCATATTTTAATTTATTTCATGTTGAATAACATTGTTTTGAGAAACTTGTGAATCATGCGTGAGACTATTCTCCCTTTTCTTCAGATAGCCAGGATTTTTTTTATTGCACTAAAGACTGAGTCTCATGATCTCCTGAATAGTCCTCAATTCTGGACTAGTTGGATAGAATTCACCAACAGCATTCTTCAATTGGTAAAAGATAATTAGCAAGGAGTTATGACAAGATTCTTCAACACCATATCACCCCACCATCCTCTTTGTATAACAAGCCCTATTTATGCCCCACAATTTGATCTAACCATTTTATTAAGACACAAAACAAACATTCTTATATGGTAACTTTGCATACTCTTTTAAAAAACTACAGAGGTAAATCAAGTCCAGTAATTCAATAATCTGCCCTTTGCCTCCTGAAATTGAAGGAACCACTGTTACCACTGTAGTATATATCTTTCCGTGTTTTTCTATGCTTACACAAGTACATAGATAAGTTTATGTACATATATATAGGTAAGCACCATTTTTAAAAAATAAGATGAAGTCATACTATACATGTTTTTCTCTCACTCAATTTTTCACTTAATTTTTTATGGACATCCTTCTAGATCTATTTAGATCCATCTAGAAAGGTTTATAAAATTGGACTTTTACTGCTGTGGACATTTTACAAATTCAAAGAGGTGGTGGAAATTAAGGGTGAGAAAATGACATGCTTGAAGCTCCCCAGTCAGTCAGTGACAACACTTGGTAGAAAGTGTTCTCTAATGATTAAAGCATGATTATGAATTTAACCTACTTGACTTTAATTTAGCTTCATTATTTCCCATTTGTTTTACCTTGGGCAAATTATTTATCCTCTTTGTGACTCAGTTTCCTCATTCCTAAAATGGGGGTAATAGTATCTACCTTGTAAGTTGTTGTTATGATTAAATGAAATAATACATATAAACGTGCTTAAAACTATTTCTGGCACATAGTAAGCGCTGAGCAAATGTTCAGTGTAATACCATTGTTGTGAAGCACTCAATAAATGTTGTTGTTATTGTTATTATTATTATTATTTTGAGACGAAGTCTTGGTCTTGTCCCCCAGACTGGAGTGTAATGGCATGATCCTGGCTCACTGTAACCTCCACCTCCCAGGTTCAAGTGATTCTCCTGCCTCAGCCTCCTGAGTAGCTGGGATTACAGGCACCTTCTACCAAGCCTAGCTAATTTTTGTATTTTTAGTAGAGACAGGGTTTCACCATGTTGGCCAGACTGGTCTCAAACTCCTGACCTCAGGTGATCCTCCCACCTTGGCGTCCCAAAGTGCTGGGATTACAGGCATGAGTCACTGTGCCCGGCCTGTTGTTGTTGTTATTATTATTATTATTATTATTCCTGGCCCAAGTGCCATCCTGAATCTGATTATGGGAAGCATTATCCAAAATAAAAGCTCCAAATTGGGCCTGGTGCAGTGGCTCACACCTGTATGTAATCCCAGCACTTTGGCAGGCCGAGGCAGGTGGATCATGAGGCCAGGAGTTTGAGACCAGACTGACCAACATGGTCAAACCCTGTCTCTACTAAAAATACAAAAATTAGCTGGGCTTGGTGGCACGTGCCTGTAGTCCCAGCTACTCAGGAAGCTGAGGCAGAAGAATCGCTTGAACCCAGGAAGCCGACGTTACAGTGAGCTGAGATGGCGCCATTGCACTCCAGCCTGCGCAACACAGACTCCATCTCAAAAAAATAAATAGCCGGGCACGGTGGCTCAAGCCTGTAATCCCAGCACTTTGGGAGGCCGAGACGGGCGGATCACGAGGTCAGGAGATCGAGACCATCCTGGCTAACCCGGTGAAACCCCGTCTCTACTAAAAAATACAAAAAACTAGCCGGGCGAGGTGGTGGGCGCCTGTAGTCCCAGCTACTCGGGAGGCTGAGGCCGGAGCATGGCGTAAACCCGGGAGGCGGAGCTTGTAGTGAGCCGAGATCGCGCCACTGCGCTCCAGCCTGGGCGACAGAGTAAGACTACGTCTCAAGAAAATAAAAAATAAAAAATAAGTAAATAAATAAATAAATATATAAACTCCAAATTGAAAGCAAGAATTCCAAAGGGAAAGTATTGCAGTGGTTAAAAATTCATCAAGTACTTAGTCTTGGTAATGGAAATGTAGTGACTTCTCCCTTGCTTTTATTACAGGTGAGGAGATATCTTCTAAAAGTGAACTGGATGAATTGCAGGAAGAGGTGGCCAGGAGGGCGCAGGAACAGGAACTTCGAAGAAAACGGGAGAAAGAATTAGAGGCAGCGAAAGGGTTTAACCCTCATCCTAGCCGCTTCATGGATTTGGATGAACTGCAGAATCAGGGTAATTGCTGTGAGCATTAGGTTGTGGGTGATGGGGAAAGACAGAAAGGGTAGAAAAATACATCTAAGTTTGTAAGTTCCCTGTCTTCTCTTTAGCAAAATAATTTTTAAAATCTTAATTCACCCATTCCAGTGAGAACAAGTTAGAGTAGGATGTGACAAGACTATTAACTGGAGATAGGCCCTGATTTGGGGCACATCTATTAAATTTATTAGAGATAGTGTATTGTTCATGAATAATGTTTCCCATGAACATCTGTTGAAGGTGTAAATAAAACTAGCCTTGAGTCAGAAATAGCTGAAAATGGCAGTGAGCCACACTGACAGCGAGGGGAATTCTACTTGCTGGGAAGAAACATACCCATGAAATATTCCACCTGGAGCATCAGGGAAGTGGATCTGCCAAACAGGAGCAAGAACAAAGCCAGTTTACTTTTGATACCAAGACAATTGATTCTCTAACCTCAAACAATTTGCATGACTTGACTTCCACAACTGCCCCACGTTAGACTTTTTTTCTTCCTAGAATTTTTTTAGGATGTCACTTTGTACCAAAAGAGACTAACCTTCAAAATAGTTCAGCTGTGGAGCTTGCAGTGAGCCAAGATCATGCCACTGCACTCCAGCCTGGGCGACAGAGCAAGACTCCATCTCAAAAAAAAAAAAAAAAAAAAATAGTTCAGCCAAGCTGAGATATCTACCTTAAATAGGCCATGAAACCTATATCTTAGTTTTTTTTTTTCCCTATAAAATGACTTTATTATTTTTATAATTTGGAAACCCCACTTACAACAAATTGTGCTAAAGCAGTATAAAGGTCCAAGTTTGTAAGTGCAAGCTTTTAACTTTTTTGGCTGTTTTGTGTTGACCATGTTTCTCTTTTTATATACACTTAGAGAATCTTCTTGGGCCAAGTAATCCTGTTTGGGGGCAGCTTTTTTCCTTTAATACTACTCTCTTTTGATTCAAGGTAATTGTTGCCTCATATTTCCCAAGACATTGTATTCGTTTCCAAATTAGTTTTAAATTCCTAATACTTAGCTGTCTCTATATTTGGATAGTCTTTTTTCCCTTTTTGACCTCAAGCTATAATCACATTGGTGTCCCAGGTTTATTTTGCTTCTGAATAAAGGGGTCTTGTCATTTCTCTCCTTTCCTTTTTTTCTCTCTCTGCCAGTTGGGCAACAGATTAAAGTTAGGAGGAGATCCCACTGGCTATCTTTCATTGTCAATTTTCCATACACTGTGGTTCAGCATTTCCTGCATGAGCAAGGAATGGAATACTAAGATTCTGGAGGATAAGAATTAAAATTTAGTACAGTGATTGATCAACTGTAGCTTGTCTAGATCTCTGTAAAGTAGAGAACTTAAAAAAAATGGCTCTAGGCACTACCTCTGATTATAAAGGTTGTATACATTTAGTTGATTACAAATATTATGAGAGAACTTCAGGTCTGGGAAGTAAGGGAAACCACACCTCTAGAGATAGAGTGGATCCTGAGTGCCAAGTTCTTCAGAACCAACCTGCTGTTTCCATTGTCTTCCCATTGCTCTCAAAAAGTCATGATGAATTAGGAAGTGAATGTTAGGGATGTGGAAGAGCCTTTATTACCATGTCCAGCTGGAGGTAAGTGGAGGATGAGGGACATTATGGGAGAAGTAACTCAGACATTTTTTTTTCCCCCTGCAACTTTGTGAAGGCTCACTGGCAATCCCATTTGTAGGTGAACTTATGTTACAGTCTGCTGCCAATTTATGATTATGAGTAAGTAGAGGGCAAGGGATACATAAACATGAGAGTTCTTTTACAAAAATTTCTCTGCCTGTACTTCCTAGCCTTTTCATCTGGTATTGTTTTTAGACTCTTCTGCTCCTGCTTTGGCACACATTCACTTTGAGAGAAGGATGGAATATTCCCTGCTCGCTGTATGGGAAGTTGACTTCTTTGCGGGTAGTTTTGGTGAGGAATAGCATGATGAAAGTAAATACTTAGCAATGCTTATGAAAAGTATGTATATGCAAACCAGGAACGAAGGCCGTTCAACTGCCCTGGCAGATACATTGGATTAGCAAGTGTAGACCATCTGTGACTAAGAGGTGTACTGATTTTCCAGTTTAGGGTGGTGCATAAAGGACTGTGATTTGGTGAAGTAAATAAGTGGTATGGATGGTTGTCCACAGAATAATGAAGCTACCTTTGCCATAACTTAGCAGTGAAGGTCTCAGTCGACATCAAGGGTGTTCTGACACTAGTTGGCAAGAATTGCACTGGGAAAGAGCAGTTCACTTCCAGGCATAAGAACCTACCCTTCTGCTATATGGAATACTTTGTTCTTTCCTTGAGGGACTTCCTAAGAGTCTTGGTGTTAGAATATGTGGCCATTAATGGCATGCCTCTCTTTCATGGCCTTGGTAACATCTCGGTTAAGGCAAAATGAATGTCCTGCTTGTTTCAGAGAATTCTTAATAGCAATGAACAGTTGGAATAAGGGTAGACCAGTGGCTCAGCAGCAAGGATCTCTGTGTACTGAAGGGAAACAACAGTACACAGGAAAAGTTGGAATGAATTGTAATGAAAATGAAAAGTGCTGGCCCTTTCAGGGAGGAGTGACGGCTTTGAGAGGTCCCTGCAAGAGGCAGAGTCAGTATTTGAAGAGTCACTGCATCTGGAACAGAAAGGAGACTGTGCTGCAGCTTTGGCTCTCTGTAATGAAGCTATCTGTAAGTAACTCTAACTGCTATGGCTATGGCACTTTTGACTAACTTCACAATAGGTATTATTAGTGTTGTCACTCAGACAACAGTTTTTGTGTCTCCTCACTCTTGCTCTCCCAAACTGAGGCCCGTTAGCTGTTTTTGCCCTTTAGATTTCTAAGTGTACCTGGCACTGGCACTGTGGCCTATGGATATTTACCAGAATAACCTCAGCAAGGAATCCATAGATGACTTCTCCAGTCATGCCTACCTTCTTATTCCAGGATAAAGTTAGACCTCAGATGTGAGATTAGTCTGCTTTTTTGCTAGTCACTGGCTAGTGAGTTGGAGCTTATAGAAGGAAAACTGAATAAATTGGCTATGACTTCCCAGGCCTGTGACTTTTTACTTCAATATTTGATTCTTTCTGATTCTCCCCTACCTTCATAGTGTGCAGCACCATAAGCTTACAGCAAGAGACTAAGGCTTAGAATTGGGAATTGGTATCGGCTTCTTGTATGTGACCCACAAAAAGCTGTGGTCTATAAAGAGAGATACAGGTTTGGATCTTATTTCTGCTGTTGGCCATTGGGAAGAGAGGGGTGAGAGTCGAGTGTGGAGACCAGAGTCAGACAGGTCAGTTGGACAAGAGTGGCAATCTCTAAGATGGAGGCACCGGTTTATCTTATTGATTGATTTATTTTAGTTTTGTTTTGTTTTTTAATTTGGATTAACCTGTTTGGCCTCCATGGCTTCCATCAATGTTCCTTATAGCCAGAGGCAGCTCTTTGCCCTGGACAGCATATGCATGGTCCGTGCCTTGCATTCCTGCTACATATTTTGAGTTTTACTGCATATCTTTGCTCATTTTTGTTCAATTTTATTCTTTTTATTTTTGTTTGTGTTTTGTGTTCTGTTTCTGCTATATTTTCTTTTGCATTTTAGCTAAACTAAGACTTGCCCTGCATGGTGCCAGCTGTAGCACGCACAGCAGAGCCCTAGTCGATAAGAAGTTGCAAATCAGTATTCGAAAAGCACGGAGCCTGCAGGATCGCATGCAGCAGCAGCAATCACCACAGCAGCCGTCGCAGCCCTCAGCCTGCCTCCCGTCACAGGCGGGGACTCTCCCTCAGCCAACAAGGTAGTGCTTGGGAACCATGTTAGTTTATGAACGCCAGGGGAAGAAGTGACCATGAGTACTCTATAGCAAGAGCTCTCATTGTCTTGCTGACTGAAGGGGAGAGAGGAGTCCTCTGAAAAGATTTTCTTCTTTCAGGTCAGACATACAGTGAAAAACTCATTGTACTGCTGGTCCTTTCCTTAATAATTCCTAGGATGCAAAAGTACAGCATAATAAGACTATTTGTCCACATTTCCCATGGGTAACTTTAGCCCTGGACTTGTGTAATGCGATTATTATATTTGTATATATATATTATGTTCTTAGACATGGCAATCTAGGCTACATTTCATGTTGTAGTAGCTACCATGTGATTTATTTTGGGATTTCAATGCTTCCTATCCTTATGGAAGCCGAGAAAGCAGTCTTTCTTGCTCTGATTGCACCATAAAGAAGAGACACAATGATTCCCTTTGCTTTGCTTCTTTATGGTCAGGACTAGGAAAGAAGTTCCAGTAGTCATTGTTGTAGTTCTCTCATCTTAACCCTTGAATTTGGCTTTTACTTAGAATAGATGAATTTAAATAAACATTAATTTGGACCATTAATAATTCTGAGTAGTTTTCAAAATATAAATTAATAAAAGCAGTTAACTTTTTTTTTTTTTTGAGACAGGATCTTGCTTTTTCACCCAGGCTGGAGTGCAGTGGCACGATCATAGCTTACTGCAGCCTCAACCTCCTGGGCTCAATGTTCAAAAGGCAAATGTTCAAAAATAGTTAACTGCTAGGCATGGTAGCTCATGCCTGTAATCCTAGAATTTTGGGAGGCTGAGGAGGGCAGATTATTTGAGTCAAGGAGTTTGAGACCAGCCTGGGCAACATGGTAAAACCCTGTCTCTACAAAAAACAAAAAAAATTTAGCTGGGCATGGTGGTGCATACCTGTGGTCCCAGCTACTTGGGAGGCTGGGGTGGAAGAATTGGTTGAGCCCGGCAGGTCAAGGCTACAGTGAGCTGTGATGGTGCTGCCACGCTCCAGCCTGGGTGACATTGAAAGACCTTGTCTCAAAAAAAAAAAAAAAAAATGCAGGTCTGTTTGATGCTAAAGCACATGTCCTTAACCATTATGTATATTGCCTTTTATGATTAGGCTTCCCATATTAGTATATCTTACTCTCCATAATGTTATAAGGGTGACTGGGTGACTATACCCTCAAAAGTTTATAGTATATTTTCATTTGAATTTAGGGGCTTGTTTTGAATATAAGCAATTTAGATAGGTAAACCCTTTCCAGAAAACATATACTTCCTGATGTATGTGAGTGATTGAGGCTTTATTTAAGTCCTTGTAACATTAAGTTTTTAAAATCAGAAATACAAAACAATTAGTGAGAAACCAACTAAATACAGTTAATCCCTACTCCTACTCCTAAATCTCAAGAGAGTCATATTGCTTTGGGGAAACATCTCAGTGACTAATAGAACAAAATCCAGATTTTAAAAACATATTTGAAATGGTTGATTTCTGTGTATTCCCATGGGCCCAAATCACCGTGTATTTAGTAAATGTGGCCTCATGGTTCCTTTGGCTGGGCTGCCTCTCAGGACTCCAGGTAGGACTTGCCTCCCTGTATAGCATCCTGGATTTTTGCTGTTTGGTATGAGTGATTTTCAGGCTTTGCTTACCTTCCATGTCATCTGCATGTGAGACTAGCTGATTTTGTTTCCTAATTTGCAAGTAGAATGTGATTGGAATGTGACTTCACAGGTAGTGAAGAATATTGGCAAGGGGTCCATTTAATGTTACTGTGCACCTTTAGTGAGGGCATTTAATAAAGAGGATTAATGTTACCTATTTACCTTGGTGTGAGCTGACCATGTGCCTTTTCTTTTGTGATCCTCTGAACTACTGACTCTACTTGTGCTTGTCTTTCTGTTTATTTTTACCATTCCCTGTGTGAATAGCTAGAAATGGGAATGGAATGAACAGTTCTTTCTGTAAGCGTTCCTGTCAGTCAAGGCAGCTTATGACTAGCTGTCTCCATTTGTTTCAGTGAACAGCCTATCCCGCTCCAAGTATTGTTAAGCCAAGAGGCCCAACTGGAACCCGGCACGGATACAGAGTTTGGGGCCAGTTCTTTCTTCCATTCACCTGCTTCCTGCCATGAGTCACACTCATCACTATCTCCAGTGTCATCTGCCCCACAGCACAGCTCCCCCAGTAGATCTGCCTTGAAGCTTCTGACTTCGGTTGAAGTAGACAACATTGAACCCTCTGCATTCCACAGGCAAGGTTTACCTAAAACACCAGGATGGACTGAGAAGAATTCTCATCATAGTTGGGAGCCATTGGATGCCCCAGAGGGTAAGCTGCAAGGCTCTAGGTGTGACAACAGCAGTTGCAGCAAGCTACCTCCACAAGAAGGAAGAGGCATTGCTCAAGAACAGCTATTCCAAGAAAAGAGGGACCCTGCTAATAACCCCTCCCTGGTGATGCCTGGAATAGCCACCTCTGAGAGGGGAGATGAACATAGCCTAGGCTGTAGTGCTTCAAATTCATCAGCTCAGCCCAGCCTTCCCCTGTATAGAACCTGCCACCCCATACTGCCTGTTGCTTCTTCATCTGTGCTTCGCTGTCCTGATCCTGTGCAGAAAACTAACCAATGCCTCCAAGGCCAAAGCCTCAAAACTTCATTGACTTTAAAAGTGGACAGAGGCAGTGAGGAGCCCTACAGGCCAGAGTTTCCCAGCTCGAAGGGGCTTGTCCGTTCTCTGGCTGAGCAGTTCCAGAGGATGCAGGGTGTCTCCATGAGAGATAGGAGAGGTTTCAAGGATATAAGTTTGTCAGGTAGTCTAAGGAAGAACTCTTCCCCTTCTGATTCTAAGCCTCCTTTCTCACAGGGTCAAGAGAAAGGCCACTGGCCATGGGCAAAGCAACAATCCTCTCTGGAGAGTGGGGACAAACCACTTTCCTGGGAAGAGTCCACTGAACATTCTTCTCTTGCCTTAAACTCTGGGCTGCCTAATGGTGAAACTTCTAGGGGAGGACAGCCCAGGTTGGCAGAGCCAGACATATACCAAGAGAAGCCGTTCCAAGTGAGAGATGCTAGGTCTAAGGATCTGGGCAGCAGTGCTGACTTGGGGACTTCCTTGCCTTTGGATTCCTGGGTGAATGTCACAAGGTTCTGTGATTCTCAGCCTAAACATGTGGCCTCTAGGCCAGGAATGAAGTCCTCCCCTCATGATTCCCATATGTGTGTAACCTATCCAGAGAGAAATCACATCCTTTTGCATCCACATTGGAACCAAGACACAGAGCAGGAGACCTCAGAATTGGAGTCTCTGTATCAGGCCAGTCTTCACGCTTCACAACTTGACTGTTCTGGATGGGGGCAGCAGGATACAGCCTGGCACCCACTTAGCCAAACAGGTAAGAATGCAAACAGGGGTTGCGGGGAGGAGGGAGGATCATATAAAAGCTGAAAGCAGGGAAAGATCAGAAGGGGGTATTCTGTACAGATAGTATCCCCAGCTTAGTAGGAGGTAGTAGAACTTTCTACTTTACTCAGAAAGCCTCCATGACAAGAGCTAGACATTTTTCTGGCTAGAGTGGAGGAAGGGGCAGAATTATCACTCACAGGCAACTTCCCTCCTTCTAAAGTAAGAGATTACTAAGTATTTGCCCATGGCTTCTCCCGTATGCTGTGCTAAAGAATGGTTCAGGGCCGGGCGCGGTGGCTCACTCCTGTAATGCCAGCACTTTGGGAGGCCGAGGGCAGATCACTTGAGGTCAGGAGATCGAGACCACCCTGACCAACATGGTGAAACCCCGTCTCTACTAAAAATACAAAAATTAGCTGGACGTGGTGGCACATACCTGTAATCCCAGCTACTTGGGAGGCTGAGGCACAAGAATGGCTTGAATTGGTGACGTGGAGGTTGCAGTGAACTGAGATTGCGCCACTGCACTTCAGCCTGGGTGGCAGAGTGAGACCCTGTCTCAAAAAGAAAAAAAAAAAAAAAAGCGTTTTAACCAGAAACTCTGTACCCATTGGCAAATCACTCTTTATCTCCTCCTTCTCTTCCCCCAACCCCAGGCAACTCATCTATTTTCTGTCTCTAGAGATTTGCCTGTTCTGGACATTTCATATAAATGGAATCATACAGTATGTGGTCTTTTGTGACCAGATTTTGACATAATTGTAGTTCCTAAAGTGTTATATAAACACTGCTCTTGACCTATATTCTGAATTTCATCGTACTTTGAACTTGAGCAGACACCATCTTATAGATATCTAAAAAATAAGAAATTACCTTTTGTTATGGGAAATTTCAAATATATTCAAAAGTAAAGAATAAGAGTAGGCCGGGCACAGTGACTCACACCGTAATCCCAGCACTTTGGGAGGCCAAAGCGGATGGATCACCTAAGGTCAGGAGTTGGAGACCAGCCTGGCCAACATGGCTCTACTGAAAATACAAAAAATTAGCTGGGCGTGGTGGTGGTGGACGCCTGTAATCCTAGCTACTCAGGAGGCTGAGGCAGGAGAATTGCTTGAACCCGGGAGACGGAGGTTGCAGTGAGCTGAGATTACACCATTGCACTACAACCTAGGCAACAAGAGCAAAACTCCATCTCAAAAAAAAAACCAAAATAAATGTTATGATAACCCTCCAGGTACTTATAACCAGCTTCCATAGTGATTATCTTGCAGTTATCAACATATGGCAGTTATTTTATTTTATTTTATTATTTATTTTTTAGACGAGGTCTTGTTCTACCTCCCAGGCTGGAGTGCAGTGGCGCGATCTCGGCTCACTGCAACCTCTGCCTCCTGAGTTCAAGTGATTCTCCTGCCTCAGCCTCCCGAGTAGCTGGGACTACAGGTGTGCACCACTGCGCCTGGCTAATTTTTGTATTTTTAGTAGAGATGGGGTTTCACCATATTATCCAGGATGGTCTCTTATCTCATGACCTCGTCATCCGCCCACCTTGGCCTTCCAAAATGCTGGGATTACAGGAGTGAGCCACTGCGCATATGGCCAGTTTTGATTTAGCTATACCTCCACCACTTTCCTTTCCCCTCTACATTATTTTATTTTATTTTATTTTATTTTATTTTATTTTTTGAGACAAGGTCTTGCTTTGTTGCCCAGGCTGGAATGCAGTGATGCCATCAGGGCCACTTCTGAGGTCCTCCCACCGCAGCCTCCTGAGTATCTGGGACCACAGGCACACACCACCACATCTGGCTAATTTTTTTGTGTGGTTTGGAGAGACAGGGTTTTGCCATGTTGCCCAGGTGGTCTCTACCTCCTGAGCTCAAGTAGTCCACCTGCCTCAGCCTCCCAAAGTGCTAGGATTACAGGCATGAGCTACCATGCCCAGCCTCCTCTAGATTATTTTAAAACAAATCTCTGAATCTCTGACATTATATTATTTCATTCATAAATAATTTAGCATGTATCTCTCAGAAATAAACATTCTTTTTTTTTTTTTAATGAGATGGAGTCTCGCTCTGTCACCCAGGCTGGAATGCAGTGGCACGATCTCGACTCACTGCAGCCTCTGCCTCCTGAGTTCAAGTGATTCTCCTGCCTCAGCCTCCTGAGTAGCTGGGATTACAGGCGCACACCACTACGCCTGGCTAATTTTTTTTGTGTGTGTATATATATATATACACACACACATATATATATATATATATTTTTTTTTTTTTAGTAGAGACAGGGTTTCACCATGTTTGCCAGGCTAGTCTTGAACTCCTGACCTCAGGTGATCCACCTGCCTTGGTCTCCCAAAGTGCTAGGATTAGAAGCATGAGCTACCGCACCTGGCCAGATTCTTTTTTAAGAGACAAACCTGTAACATTATTATACCTAAAAAATTAACAATAATTTATTAATATAATACCTAGCCAATATTCCAGTTTTCTCAGTGGTCCCATAAATGTCTTTTTACAGTTGTTTTATTTCAAGTCAGGATTCAAACAAGACACACACATTGCTTTTGATGGTAAGGCTCGTAAGTCTTTTTTTTTGTTGTTGTTGTTTTTGGTTTTGGGTTTTTTTGCCAGTATGATACCCTCTGTTTTTTCCCCTTCCATTTATTTGTTGAAGAAATTTGGTCATTGTCTTTTAACATTTCACACATTGTAGATTTTGCTGATTATAGTTTTAAGTCTTTAAGAAAAAAAAACTTGTTGTGGCCGGGTGCAGTGGCTCACGCCTGTAATCCCAGCACTTTGGGAGGCCAAGGCAGGCAAATCACGAGGTCAGTTCAAGACCGGCCTGGCCAACATGGTGAAACCCTGTCTCCACTAAAAATATAAAAATTAGTCGGGCATGGTGGCACGCACCTGTAGTCCCAGCTACTCGGGAGGCTGAGGCAGGAGAATCACTTGAACCCGGGAGGCGGAGGTTGTGGTGAGCTGAGATCAGGCCACTACACTCCAGCCTGGGCAACAGAGGGAGACTCTGTCCCAAAAAAAACCACCATGTTCTTCTAGCCCTCATTTTTCCTGCAGCTTAGTACTTAGAGCTAGAGGCTCAATTAAAATCAGATACAAATTTTAAAAACAATAATATTTAATAGGAAGTTCTTTGTATTTCTTATGCCATATCAGCAAATACATAATGTCTGGTAGTCTTTCTTTTGTTATGATTGATCAGTGAGTAGACATCATCTTAACCCTATCTTTTATTTATTCTTTTTAGACGAGGTCTTGTTCTACCTCCCAGGCTGGAGTGCAGTGGCACGATCTTGGCTCACTGCAAGCTCCACCTCCCGGGTTCAAGTGATTCTCCTGCCTCAGCCTCCCGAGTAGCTGGGACTACAGGTGCACACCACTGCACCCGGCTAATTTCTGTATTTTTAGTAGAGACAGGGTTTCGCCATGTTGGCCAGGCTGCTCTTGAACTTCTGACCTCAGGTTATCCACCTGCCTCAGCCTCCCAAAGTGCTGGGATTACAGGTGTAAGCCATCGCACCCTGCCTTCTTTTAAAGGAATCAGATTCTACTCCCTTCAGGAGGTTCCAGTGGCTACCTTCTTGTCTAGGAGTCACACTTGGCTTGATTAGAGGAACAGCCAATTCTAAACATTACTCTGTAATTCTTTTCTCTTTTTTTTGAGACAAAGTCTTACTCTGTCACCCAGGCTGGAGTACAGTGGCACGATCATGGCTCACTCCAGCTTCCACTTTCCAGGTTCAAATGATCCTCCTGCCTCAGGCTTCCAAATACAGATGTGCACCACCATACCTGGCTAATTTTTTAATGCTTTTTTTTCTTTCTTTTTTTAGAGATGGGGTCTCACTATGCTGCCTAGGCTGGTCTTGAATTTCTAGGCTCAAGTGATCCTACTGCCTTAGCCTTTCAAAGTGCTGGGATTACAGGCATGAGCTACCACAGCCGGCGATAGCTGTAATTTTTTTTTTTTTTTTTTTTTGCGATGGAGTGAGTCTCTGTTGCCCAGGCTGGAGTGCAGTGGCGTGAAGTCGACTCACTGCAGCCTCCGCCTCTCGGGTTCAAGTGATTATCCTGCCTCAGCCTCCTGAGTAACTGGGATTACAGGCGCCCACCACCACGCCTGGCTAGTTTTTGTATTTTTGTTAGAGATGGGGTTTTCACCATGTTGGTCAGGCTGGTCTCGAACTCCTGACCTCGTGATCCGCCTGCCTTGGCCTCCCAAAGTGCTGGGACTACAGGCATGAGCCATTGCACCTGGCCTTAGCTGTAATCCTTAAACCTGGCTACCTATAGTTATCTGAGGAGTGGCTCAGAAAACCCAAAAAACACATGAATAATTTTATAGAAATAAGAACATAACACACATGCTGTTTTTATTATACACAATTTTCCTGTCTCTTCTCTCACAGCCATCCCTCCTTCCCCAGGTAATTATGTAGTGTGCATACATTGTATTTTTCTGTTCATACAATCCTATGTAGACCTACATAGAGAAAGTGTTTTTTTTTTTTTGCTTGTATATCATTTTACATATTTTTTCCTTTTAATGCAACATTTCATTAAAATTCCTTCATCTCGTTTAACTCAGTTCATTCTTTTTAAGTGACTGAACAATATTGAGTATTAAACCATAATGTATTTAGCTATTCTTCTATAGATGGGCATTACTTTATTTCTAGTTCTTGGCTACTATAAATTATGTCAGTAGAAAATATTCTTACACATATATTGTTATGAACTGGTTTTTTTTCTTCTTCTTCTCAGGATTAGAATTGTTGGGCAACAGGATAAATATATTTTTTATTTTACTGGCGATTACCAGGTTTAGGAAGACTGTAACATTTCACATTTCCCCCAATAATGTTCAAGGATATATATATATATATATATATATATTTTTTTTTTTTTTTTTTTTTTTTTTTTTTTTTTGTGAGACGGAGTCTTGTTCTGTCACCCAGGCTGGAGTACAGTGGCATGATCTTGGCTCACTGCAAGCTCTGCCTCCCGAGTTCATACCATTCTCCTGCCTCAGCCTCCCGAGTAGCTGGGACTACAGGCGCCCACCACCACGCTCAGCTAATTTTTTGTATTTTTAGTGGAGATGGGATTTCACCGTGTTAGCCAGGATGGTCTTGATCTCCTGAACTCGCGATCCGCCCGCCTCAACCTCCCAAAGTGCTGGGATTACAGGTGTACACCACCATGCCCGGCCAAGGATATTTTCTTGGACTTTTTAGGAACCTTTCAAAAATGAAAATTCCCAGGCACCAACCACAAACTTTCTGATTCAGGTCTGTGGTAACATCCAGAAAGCTATATTTTTAAAAGTTCCCAGATGAATCTGAGGTGGTATTGAAAGCACTGCATTTAAGTACCCAGGAATACTGAAAATAACTGGTCTTACAGTACTTACATGAATAATATCAGCTTCAGCCAGATATAGATATATTAGAATCACATCATCAAATCAAGACATGAATTGGCCATGGACATATGTATCAAATGTAGGTCAAGGGCATATACAGTTTCAGAATGGAAAACTTAATTAGCTGGATTGGGGTTAGCCCCTTGGGAGTCACCAATCCAGTTTAGAGCAACTCTGAACAATCGAGAAAGGTTTTGAAGAGAGGTAAGCATTTAGTGGTTATTTAGAATTTAAATGATTTGAGAGAAGGTAAGGGGAAAAGAGCATTACATGTGTAAAACATTCCTGAGGTGCTCCTGCTCAGAGTATAAGAGGTCACCAGGTGAGATGATAAGAGTACTGTGCTGAAAGTCAAGAGAGTTTTAATCCTGGTTAAACTACTAAACTGTCAGACCCTGGAACTCATTTTCCTGTTATATAAAATGAGGAGGTTTGATAGATGATTATTTTGACCATTTCAATTCTGAACTAGACTGGAGATAATTTCTTTTGTCACCACAGATACTTCAGAAAATCACTGTGTTAGATAATTTCCTCTGTCTGTAAGTCTTGAGCCCAGGTCTGACAGAAGCTGATTATGTTTACAAAAATGAAATGAAGCAAGATGGGGACATTCAGTAAACTATCCATATTCTAAAATTCTTGTTTCTTTCTTTTTTTTTTTTCTTGAGACGGACTCTCACTCTGTCGCCCAGGCTGGAGTGCAGTGGCACGATCTTGGCTCACTGCAAGCTCCACCTCCTGGGTTCACGCCATTCTCCTGCCTCAGCCTCCCGAGTAGCTGGGACTACAGGTGCCCACCACCATGCCCGGCTAAGTTTTTGTATTTTTAGTAGAGACGGGGTTTCACTGTGTTAGCCATGATGTTCTCGATCTCCTGGCCTGTGATCCACCCGCCTCGGCCTCTCAAAGTGCTGGAATTACAGGCGTGAGCCACCACGTCTGGCCCCTCTTGTTTCTAAATTTCAGGAGCATGTCCCCCCGTTGAATTCAGGAATGCATATTTATTATTTAGTGAAACAACAACTCCTGAGTTTGTGCTGCTAGGCTTAGAGGTTAGGCCCTAGCAGAAGAAACAGCCTCAACTTGTATTTATGTTTTCCTCTTCAGGCTCTGCAGATGGCATGGGGAGGAGGTTGCACTCAGCCCCTGATCCTGGTCTCTCAAAGACTCCAACAGCAGAAATGGAGCAGAGTCTCCATGAAGCCAGAACAGTGTGTACTTCTCAGGTAGCAGCCTCAGGTGCTAAGGTGCTGGGCCTGGGGTGGTGTGTTGGGGAAGGAATTATGGAAAGATATGTCTGGTAGGGATGATGATAAGGCAGAGGCATGGTGATATGGGGCTATCAGAAGAAAATAAGGTCTATGATTGGGCTTCTTTTGAATTAGAGGAGATTTTTACATGGCCACTATCTTACCAATACATGTAATTCAGGTGTCTATGACTACTGAGTCTTCCCCTATTCTTTCCCATACCCTGAGGATAGTGTCTGTGGGAAAACCATAAGTCTGGTATTATGTGTCTGCCTGTATGTGTCTGTGTGTTTGAAGGCTACACCTTGCCGAGGCCTCAGCAGGGAGTGTGGGGAGGATGAGCAGTACAGTGCAGAGAACTTACGTCGCATCTCACGCAGTCTCAGTGGCACCGTTGTCTCAGAGAGGGAGGAAGCTCCAGTTTCTTCCCACAGTTTTGTAAGTAGAATCAGGGTCCATCTATTCAGAGCACCTTCCTCCTTGCTAAGCAAAAATACAGTGCAGGTGAAGAAGCAGGGAGAAAGTGAAGGTTGTAGTGTGAGGAAAAGCCCTGTGTACTCAGCGAAAATAAGGACACGCAGTCATTATTTTATTTACAAACATTCAGTTGGAGCCCGGAGGAATGTCCATTCCCTGTAGCAGTTCTGAAAGGCTGTGTGTGTTGTAGGGTTTCCTAGGGTGAGAAGAGTCATAATGGCCTTGAGAGGAATCTGAGAAGCAAAGGCTGCTGATTGGGTCAGAAGCCACTGCACTAATCAAAGGAAGAAGGAAAGAAATGGGATGCGGTATTGGTTTGCTTTTTCCCCTCACCCCCAGTATGTGATTGAATAGAATTCAGTGTGTTTTCAATCTAAAGTGAAGCATGTGCATCAGCAAGAAAAAGAAAAAAGCCTTGCGAATTTTCATATGGTACTAATGCAGTAATGTGTAGGCAGAAGGGGCAGGAAAGCCCAAGCCATTAGAGATCAACAGACTTAAACAATATCAGTGGCTAGGTCTGTAGGTAATCATACCTTTGGAGAATTTCACTTCCTTGCCCAAGTTGAGTTTTCATTACAGTAGAGGTCAGGGTACAAAGTACCAGTGCACTGAAGGTTGTCCACTAGGTCAGTTCAGGAAAAATGTAAAAACAGGTTTTAAATACATGGTACAAAAATAAAAAGGTATAAAAGCATATATGGTGAAAACCAAGTCTGTCTTCTACCAGCTCTTCAGATTCAGTTTCCCTCCTAAGAGGTACTCATTTTTCTAATTTTTAAAAATCAGCCGAGGCCAGACGTGGTGGCTCATGCCTATAATCCCAGCACTTTGGGAGGCCGAGGACGGTGGATCACCTGAGGTCAGGAATTCGAGACCAGCCTGGCCAACATGGCGAAAATATAAAAATTAGCTGGACATGGTGGGAGGGGGTGCCTGTACTCCTAGCTACTCAGTAGGCTGAGGCAGGAGAATCGCTTGAATCTGGGTGGCAGACGTTGCAGTGAGCTGAGATTGAGCCACTGCACTCCAGCCTGGGCGACAGAGCAAGACTCTGTCTCAAAAACAAAACAAAACAAACAGAAAAACTCAGCTGAATTTATAATAAGATTCATTCAATTTATTGTTCATAAATTCCTAAACAATTCTGATCAGGCTGCCATTCTTTTTTGGAAAAGGTGGACTCTCCTGCCTAGCATTTGTTCTCATGTACTTTCAATTCATTTAATGGCAAATTGTTATTTTCCAAGGAGAATTGGCTTCCTTTCTTCTGACTTCTGTATCATTCATTGATTCATTCTTTTAAATAAATACTTATTGATTCTGTCACAAGATTCCTAACACAAAAATAAACAAATAAATAAGTGCTTATTGAGTGTGTTCTAGGTATTGTGCTAGGTGCTGGAGATACAATGGTGAATTAGATGTAGTCCCTGCTTTTATGGAGCTTACAGTCTACAGTGAAGGACAGATAAATAAACAATTATAATGTATTAAGGATTTGATCCTATGGGAACATAATAGAAGGGACATTTAAATCAGGCTTGAGGTATCATGGAAGGCTTCCTGGAGGAAGCAAAAAGAATATAGCAGGTAAAAGGGACCTGAGCAAATATTAACTGAATTAAAATAAGCTTATTTAGTATGGCAGGATTAGAAAGTCTGGTGAGGGGAGATGATGGAGAGTGTTGACGAGAGGATACAAAGAATATTATGGACCGCAGACAGCCCTGTATGTCACAGTAAGTAGTTTGGAAGGATAGAGATAAGTCGACGTATTTGAGACCCAGTTAGGAAGTAAACATCAGTGGGAGTTGGTGCCTGCCTGGATGTTGGGAGAGGGGGTAAAGGATGATACTCAAGTTTTATGGTTAGATAATGATATATTTGAGGGAAGATATGTATTTAGTTTTGCATATATTAAGCTTGAGTGGAGATATCTGGCAGGCTTTTGGAATGAGATATATAAGCTGGAAATTGAAATTTGGGAATCATACCCATTGAAAAGAGGAAAATACTTGCAGAAAGAGAAGAGGAGCCAGGACATATCCCTAAAGAGCATTAGATTTAAGGTGGTTCTTCTTTTGAAGAACCCTAAAAGGAGACTGAGAAAAAAAGACTAGAGAGACTGAAGGGAAACCAGGGATGTGTGGTACCATAGGCACCAAGGGGAGAATGTTTCAAGAAGAAAGGAGTAATTAGCTATGTCACATGCTGAGAGGAGTGGCACCTGGTCCTTAGGCGGTATGATAAATGCTTATTTTGTGCCATGTTGTGGTAGGTGCTGTGAGCATACACTGATGAAACAACACAAATTCTGCCCTTGAGTAGCTTGCAGTCTCGTAAAGGAAATTAGACATACTGGCATATAGATTATTTTATTTAACGTATTATTACTAAGTGCCCACATTGTTCTAGGCACTGTTCAAGGTGCTAGGGATACTGAAGTAAAAAGAAATAGGGGAGAAAGACAATAAACAAATAAATGATATAATGCCAGACAATGATAAGTATGATAAAGAATAATAAAATAAGGCAAGAGAATAAGGAGTAAAGAGGTAATAGTGTTTTTTTTTGAGGGCTATTCCTGATAGTAGGGTAGTGAGGGAAATCAGCTCTAAGGAAGTAACTTTTGATTAGAGACCTCAGTGATATGAAGGTGTGAGCCATCAGAAGAATATTCTTGGTAACAGAAACAGTAAGTATAAAGACTCTGAGGTAGCAATGAGCTTGGTGTGTTTGAGGAACATTAAAATTAGAGTGTAAAAGCTCCAGGAATGATAGGAAATAAAGTGAGGAGCAGTAGGGCCATATCACATAGGACCTTGTAGACCATGGTAAGGAGTGGATAGGAGATAGGAAGAGCAGATTGAAGGCTGTTGCAGTAGTCCAGGTGAATTTAAATATAAAACCCATAGGTAGAAATGATAGTCCTTGGCAAGTAATGGAACTGTGGATGCGAAGTAGGAAATCAAGGTCATTGCCAATGTTTGAATATGGGTGATTTAGGAAAATGAGGTACCAGGAGGAGGAGTTTGGAAGGATTTTGGTTCAATTTTGGATATGCTACTGTTTCAGATATTAAAGGGGAATATTTCTGGGTATTTATCATAAAAGTAGATAATTAATAGGGAATAGAGCAGGACATAAGCATCAGTAAATACAAACTTGACAGGCAAAAGAGGAAGCTGTGGAATGTATAGCAGTGACAGGAGAGAAGATGGGGTAGAGTTCTTGATTCTACATTTAAACATATATAGTTTTATTCCCAGTACTTAGAATAAGGATTTTTTTTTTTCTCATTCTCTCAGGCTTTCTGAATTTCTCATATTTTGTTTTTATTTTTAAATTTCTATCTCAATCTCTCTAATTCTACTGTTAGCATTAAGGAGTTTGCTAAAGACCTGAATGGTAGGGTTGGGAAGGTGAGGGATATGAGGAGGACTGGTTAAGGGATAAGGATCTGAAGTTTGCAGTTTCTTAGAGGGCTGGCAGGGAGAGTGACTGAATAAATTGGGTCCTACTGCAGAACAAGGCATGTAGGCATGTTTGTGCTCTGGTTCCCTCCATTTCCCTTTGCTTGCCTCACTGTGTTTACCCAACTACATCCTGCTTTGTGTTAATCCTCATCTCTATGTTTTTTTGTCTTGTCTCATTATAAGGATTCATCAAACGTGAGGAAGCCTTTGGAAACCGGGCACCGTTGTTCCAGCTCCTCTTCCCTCCCTGTCATCCATGACCCTTCTGTGTTTCTCCTCGGTCCCCAACTCTACCCTCCCCAACCACAGTTCCTGTCCCCAGATGTCCTGATGCCCAGCGTGGCAGGGGAGCCCCATAGACTCCCAGGTAACTCCCCCAAATCTAATATTATATGCCAGAATTTGATACCTTTTCAGGGGCCTCATAGGGTCAAATCAGTATACCTATGGGGAGGGGGGTATCCCAAGGTGGAGTGGTGTGAGGGTATGAATTACTGCTTCAAAGTCGTGCATTGATCCAGATAAATATTAAATCATTTGTTGGGCACCATGATTCTTAGACCAAGGGTCTAGACCAGCACCCCTAGAGTCTGTCTACTTATGAGAATGAACTGCTTCAGTCATGATAGAATAAGCTTTTAACTGACAAAGGGGAGTTAATACCCAGTCTTTGGGACACCCCCAGAACAGAAATGGTCATCTCTATCAGCTAGTTTTCTCTCCTTCTGTCCTCTGAGTCTCAGCTGAGGGATGGTCTAGGAAGACAAGGAATGAGTGGGAGAATTGGAAAGACCCTATACATGGAGTACCCACACCATGTGTACAGACCCAGACAATTGTGGGGAAGGTGGGCAACATCATTTTGGCTTTCTTTGACCTTCCAAGTGAGATGTTCTCTTTTTTCCCCTCATGCGCTGGATGTCCAAGCTTGAGGCAGTGGTTCTCAGCGGATAAAGGGGATGTACTACCGGTATCTAGTGGGTAGAGGCCAGGGATGCTGCTAAATGTCACACAATGCACAGGGCAGTCTCTTCCCAACCCCAACAAAGAATTATCAGCCCAAGATATTAACAGTGCCAAAGTTGAATAAATGTATAAGAAAAGGCATTCCACATTAGATCTCAGAGATCAAACGAAGGCAGCTTAACTGAAGTGAAGATAACATTTTAAGAAAAGTTGGAAAAAACAAAAAAAAGTCAGGCACAGTGTCTCACACCTGTAATCCCAGCACTTTGGAGGCCAAGATGGGAGGATTGCTTAAGCCCAGGAGTTCGAGACCAGCCTGGGCAACATAGTGAGATCCCATCTCTATTTTTTTAAAAAAGAAAAGCTGAGTGAGGTTTTGGTATGGTGGTTCTAGAAGTATAGCCATCACAAACGGAGTATACGTTTGCTATATATTGCTATATATTAGGGAGCCCTCCTTTTGTATGCGTGTGTATAGTGGATAAGAGATGATAGTGGAGGGAGGTAGAGGTATGGCAACATCCATGAGACTGTTTCATTTGCCCAGGTTGGAAGTATGATATTTGATTTTGATGTATATTAGGAATTTTAAAAAATGGAATCAAAAGCACAGCTTGGTTCCTTCTTTCCCTTGTGTGTATGCTCTTGGTAGGGAATTGGGCTAAACAGCTAGGCATGGCTCTCTGGGAAGAATGGTATTCTGAAGATGCTCAGTCTTTGGGTTTCTTTTCTTTCCCCAGGAACTTCGAGGAGTGTCCAGCAGTTTCTGGCTATGTGTGACAGGGGTGAAACTTCCCAAGGGGCCAAGTACACAGGAAGGACTTTGAATTACCAGAGCCTCCCCCATCGTTCCAGAACAGACACCTCCTGGGCACCCTGGTCAGAGACCAACCAGCATATTGGGACCAGATTCCTGACTACTCCAGGGTGCAATCCTCAGCTAACCTACACTGCCACACTACCAGAAAGAAGCAAGGGCCTTCAGGTTCCTCACGCTCAGTCCTGGGGTGATCTTTCCCATTCACCCTCCCACCCTCCCATTGTTCATCCTGTGTACCCACCATCTAGCAGTCTTCATGTACCCCGGAGGTCAGATTGGAATTCAGATCCTGTTCCAGGGTCCCGAACCCCTGGTCCTCGAAGAGTAGATATGCCCCCAGATGACGACTGGAGGCAAAGCAGTTATGCCTCCCGCTCTGGACACAGGAGGACAGTGGGAGAAGGGTTTCTGTTTGTTCTATCAGATGCCTCCAGAAGAGAGCAGATCAGGGCTAGAGTCCTGCAGCACAGTCGATGGTAAAGGTTACTCCTTTCCTTTCCTGGAGCTACACCTTTCTATGTAAAACTGTACTGTGGGCCAGGCGCGGTGGCTCACACCTGTAATCCCAGCACTTTGGGAGGCTGAGGCGGGTGGATCACAAGGTCAGGAGATTGAGACCATCCTGGCCAACATGGTGAAACCCCGTCTCTACTAAAATACAAAAAATTAGCCAGGCGTGATGGTGCGTGCCTGTAGTCCCAACTACTCGGGAGGCTGAGGCAGGAGAATTGCTTAAACCCGGGAGGCAGAGGTTGCAGTGAGCTGAGATCGCACCACTGCACTCCAGCTTGGCAACAGAGTGAGACTCCGTCTCGGAAAACAAAACAAAACAAAAAAACTGTACTGTGGCAGCGTTGGTACCCTGCATCACTGCCATGGTTGTGCTATTCTTATCTCAACATAGAATTGGTGGGTTCTCCTAAGGGTGTCAGGAACCTCTAAAAAGACCTGATTCTTTGGGAGGGGATATTTGAAATTCCAACTTCCATTCCCCCTAGCAAAAGGAAGCAGCTGCTGTTTAAGGGTTTTATCTGAGCCACTTTAAAGATGAATCCATGGTATTACTCTGGATACTACCCATTCCTTAGGATCTTAAGGTCACATTTTATTCCTGGATGCTTTATGTCCCCACCTCCACCTGAGCCCTCGTCCTCTGTTCCCTACTATATTCCCAACTTCTACTCTTTGTTTTATCCACCTATCCCTATTACCTGACCCTTTGTCTTCCCTATCTCCCATCCTTGGGGGGACATGTAGCCCTGTGGTCATGTTTCTGATTACATCATCAGGGCAACCCCCTGCCCAGGTATTATGGCCTGTCAGCATTCCTTGTGCCCTCCAAACCTTAGGCCTAGAATGCGGAGCTGCCAACATAACATCCACCCTTTTGAACAGATGGAGTCAGGCACACTAACACAGCCTTCTGTCCTCAGCACAGCCATCATTACCACTTGCTCAGTTGTTGTTGTGAACCCTCAGAATCAGCTGAACTATTTTAGGCCAAACATACTGTTTTTGTAAAGTATTTTTCATTAATAAATCTATAAGATAGTTCTATTTAATTCCTTGTCATTCTTCCCTTTGTATGCTCTTGCTTTTTTTGTACTGGGGCGGGGAGGCCTAGAGAAATATATGAAGTGGCTTTTGACTGAGTGGAAGTGAGGAGCCAGAGAGGAGTTGAAGAATATACAATCAAGGTGGGAATCAATGGGTCCTAAAATAGGGTGCCTGTCCTTTTTACTATTGCTGCTAGGATGTTTCCCATCCCTTTCCTGATAGAGCATTCAGTACTCAGTACATTATACACTTCCTTCCTTCCTCCCCTCCTTAGGGAGATTTTCTGGGGATTCAAGCTCTTCTTACAAACTCACTCCTGATCGATGTACTCTGGGTGCCTTTCCTCTATCTTATAAGTTTGTGACATGCCTCCTGTTCCTTCCTCTCCTTCCATGGGGACCTCTCCCTTTCCCTTCCCCTGTAGTGTTATGGCCCTTCCATGCCAGAAAAATCCATTTTCACCCGTGCCTCACTCCTGAGACTCTTCCCTCTAAATAATAGCTTGTGGGTTCCCTTTTTGGAAAATACCCATTGTTGGTCTTTCCCTTCGTCTTTCACCTCGGGTCTCAGGATTGAAACTGACACAAAGAAGAGGTGGAAAGGTACTCTTTGAGACCTTCGGGCTACTACTTACTTATCACCATCCATTTTGAACAGATTCTGAGCACATGTATTATTGAGCAGGACGATGGGCAGGAATTTGTTGTTCCATCCCACTTGGATCCTGCACCATCAAGATATATACAGCTTAGTGGACTTGCTGGTCCCTGTCCATGATTCAACATATCTCCTGGTGTCGTGGATGCACTCGTCTAATAATTTTTGATAAACAGTCAATTCTTTTCCCTCTACCCCCTTTCCCATGAATGTCAGTCACCTTGGTCTCTATAAAGGGTCCATAATCACCTGGGCCCAGGTTCTGTGCATGCACAGAAATAAGGAATTAATTTCCAATTCCCTATTTACTCCTCTGCCTTCCAGGAGGAGGCTGTGTCCTTTTCAGGTGAATTCTTCAGATTCTTTGCACATCTTTTGGTGTCATCTTCTTTCTTCCCCTTACCTGTTTTGACAAACTGTGGCGCTGAAATTGCTCTAGCTGCATTCTTATTCTGTGCCTTCAGACTCTTGACAATTCCAGACTCTAAACACAAAGGCCAGAATTCTCTTTCAAACTGCATTTTGGATGGTCCTTTCTCCACTCTAGAACCTACAATGCTTCCTCTATTCTGTGGTCCCCTGCCAACCCTTTAGTATTCAGATCTGGTAACTAAATCGTTATACATTTGTTTCTCTATTAGTAGGAGATCCTGAGGTTTAATCACGTCTCCTCAGTTTAATGGGAATGCCATGAGAGCGGGTGTGTTTCCTCGCAGTCGTTCATCGCAGCACCTAGCTACAGACTTGCCCCATCTCCTCATTCTTGATTCCGCATGCAAAGAATTTTAACCTGATCCCTTGGCCTCGTCCTGTTTCTCTCCTAGCCTCAGTAATTTTGCCCAAGTCCCTAGAGCCTACCCCGCCCCCACCCCCGCACGCGCAGTGCATGCCGGTCTTAGCCCCTCTGTAGGGAAAGAGGGTCCGCCATGTTCCCCGGCGGCGCCGCCGCTTGGCTCTGGTAGCCGCCGCCCCCGCCCCCAACCCCGCCCGGCCCAGAGCCTAGCCGAGCCCCGGGCCCAGCATGGCCGCCCCGGAGCCGGCCCGGGCTGCACCGCCCCCGCCCCCGCCCCCGCCGCCCCCTCCCGGGGCTGACCGCGTCGTCAAAGGTGAGAGGTGGACGAAGCCCTGGGGGCCTGGCCTGAGGAGCTAGCTGTGTGTGAGAGCGGGCGGGAGACCGTCCCCTCGGGAGTGGGCCCGGAAGGGCGGGCGAGTGAGTGGCTGCCTCCCTTGGGGAGTGGCCCCTGGGCGGGCCCCTGTTGGGCAGGACTGAGTCGGTGGCAGTGGCTCCGCGGTCTACCGGTTGCTTTCAGGCCGGGGCGGAGGTTTTGCTCCCGTGGCTTCCTAGCCCAAGGGTTGAGGCTGTTAGCTGCAGTGAGCCCCTTTTCTCCCCACTCGGCCTGTCAAAGCGGCGCAGGGGCCGCGATTAGTTTCCTGCCCCGCGACAGCTGCACTTCTGGCTTGCCGGGGCGAACTGAGGGGCTCGGAGACCTTCAGCCACGCGAGGCCCGCCGGTGAGCAGTCAGAAATCACCTCGGCTTTGGCTCACGCTTGCTCCCCAGTGACAGTCGTCCGCCCTATCCGCGTCTAGCTAGCGACAACCGCAGGGGTTCACTTTTGGCCGTCAGGTGCCACCCGGAGCAGAAACTGGGGGAACCTTGTGGGATGGGACCTTGGTGAAGGGTTGGGTAAGGAATTGGGAGGCCAGCCTTTATAGTGCAGAAAGGGAGAGAAAGCAGCATAAACAACAACAAAATTGTGGATAGGAAGTATTTACTTAGAAAACCGTCAACACTTTGGTCAAAATGGGTTACCCCTCCCCTACAAACACACACCCACACACTCATCCTAGACGAAAAAGTTAAATGTTTCTCAGCCAGGGCAGAATTTATGGATGTTTACCCACAACAGGTCAGCAGATTAATTTAAAATAGAGAAATTGAGAGCTAATTGAGAGTTGCTTAAGATTCCAAGCTTCCTGGGAGAGCCTACCAACCTCAAACACTGCTGTGGAGGTGAAAAATAATTGAAATGATTCTCTTTACCATGTATCTTGATTGATAAATTGAAATCGTAGAATAAACTTTTCCTTATTTGTATTGTATTTATTTTTAAAACATAGGTACTTTTGTTTTCATTCAGCTTCTCAAATACACTGGCACAGTATTTAAACACTGTTAGCCTACTTTTGGAAATCTGACTCATATGTTTCCATTAAAATATTTAAAAACGGCTGGGCTTGGTGGCTCACGCCTGTAATCCCAGCACTTTGGGAGGCCGAGGTGGGCGGATCACGAGGTCAGAAGATCGAGACCATCCTGGCTAACACGGCGAAACCCCGTCTCTACTAAAAACACAAAAAATTAGCCGGACGTGGTGGTGGGCGCCTGTAGTCCCAGCTACTTGGGAGGCCGAGGCAGGGGAATGGCGTGAACCCGGGAGGCGGAGCTTGCAGTGAGCCGAGATCATGCCACTGCATTCCAGCCTGGGCAACAGAGCAAGACCTCGTTTCAAAAAAAAAAAAAAATCAAGGATTTTTTTTTTTAAATTAAAAATTTTAAACCTGAACCTTCTTTGGTTCTTAAAAGAGTAATACTAATTTGGCCCGGTGTGATGGCTCACACCTGTAATCCCAGCACTTTGGGATGCTGATGAGGCAGGCGGATCGCTTGAACTCAGGAGTTGGAGACCAGCCTGGGCAACATGGCAAAACCTTGTCTCTACCAAAAATACAAAAAATAAAAATTAGCCGGGCATGGTGGCGCTCCCCTGTAGTCCCAGCTGCTCGGGAGGCTGAGGCACGAGAGTCGCTGGAGCCTGAGAGGCGGAGGTTGCAGTGAGCCGAGATTTGCGCTAGTGTGCTCCAGCCTGGACGACAGAGCCCGACCCTGTCTCCAAAAACAAAAACAAAACACTGATTTGTACCTAGGCGTAAGTTACTAGTATATCCAGTTGGGCCAGGCATTGGAATGAGCTGAATAAAGAATTTATGGAATCCTTATACAGATAAATCTTAAAAAAAAAAAAAAGTGATGCAGGCATTCGTTCTGTCAAGAAATCCTGGAGTTTTGTGGGGGTGGGAACGGGATATTGGCTACAGTCATTTTCTGACTGTATTTCTGTGTTGTGTGTTCATTTCCCTGGGCACTTTTCACCAGACTGTTAGATGGGGTAACCAATCACATTCCTGAACCATGAGTTTATGCTATCCTTATGCTTGTGAATCTTCTTATTCCTTGTCATATATGTGGTAATGTTTTTTTCTGTACTGCTTTAATGCAGTGAAAATAAGATTCCAAACATAAGGCAGATTCCTTAGGGGTGAGTTGTGAGTCCAAGGCAGTCATATTTGCAGATTATTGGTGTGGAATAAAAGCCATTTGATTTAGATAAATAGGAAAGGAGCTTGTTAATATAGAAAATTATAGTTAAATAAAGCTCATGGTTATCATATTTCTTGTGCTTCATTGAGCCCTCTTCATAGAGACTACTTTCATTTTTTTATGGAATTTGTTAACCAGTTGGAATGCTGTATGGATTATGTGTTTAAAGATGGTGTGTAACAGACTACTTTGCACTGCTCATGGAGTCTCCTGCATTTACTGGGAAATTCACCTTTCTTGCAGATCCAGAAATCCACTTTTAAATTTCATTTTCAGGATTCTTCCTTGTCTTTTATTCAGTAATTATTCTATAATGTGATACCTGATAGTACAGAATACTGGTTGCCTGAGATAAATGATGACTTGTGTGAGTTCAGCTTAAGTTTAACTTGTTAAAATCCAAATTTCTTTTAAGTCCACAATGTGGTGGTAGTTTTGTATCCATACATTTTCTTAGTAGTAATATTATGGAGACCATCTGTTGGCATTAAATGCAAGTAGTCTTTTTCTCCCTGGAACTTCTTTTATTTTTTTGAGATAGAGTTTCGCTCTTGTTGCCCAAGTGGAGTGCAATGGCGCAATCTCCCTCATTGCAACCTCCGCCTCCTGGGTTCAAGCGATTCTCCTGCCTCAGCCTCCCAAGTAGCTGGGATTACAGGTGTGCGCCACTATGCCCGGCTAATTTTTTGTATTTTTCAGCGGAGTCGGGGTTTCACCATGTTGGCCAGGCTAGTCTCAACCTCTTGACCTCATGATCCTCCCATCTTGGCCTCCCAAAGTGTTGGGATTACAGGCGTGAGCCGCCGCGCCTGGCTTGCCTCCCTGGAACTTCTTAGTGTCAAAATTTTATACTCTCTGTTTCTAGTCATAAGGCCTACATTTTACGGTCATGTAGGTTTTTAAGGGTGTATAGGTCTTTCTGTGTTTAAGATCAGATACCTGAAATTCACTTTTTGTGAAATTTGGGA